GAACAGAGGCTTCAGCCCATTACAATCAAAGAGGCTCCATCCCATTAAGAAAAGAACACGCACGTTCTTGGCCGTTTTGCACTTGAACCAGCTGAAGATTAAGGTCATGTTCGGATGACTGATGGATGTTTCCAACCATCAGTACATTTTTCACGCATTCCTGGCGAGGATACTTCATGACCTAGAACAAGAGAACTGGCACACTTTTTAGGACCGACTCGCGCATGGATTACACCATCTGTCATGACCGGAAATATACAGGCCAGAGTTCTGGATAAACGAATCCTCCCAGTGATCCCATGACACCGACGGTTGACCCAGAAACAGTCAGCATGAACTCAGTGAAGGAAATTTCATTGCGGCAGTTCACTGTCGTTTTTGAGAGTATGGGCACGACTGACCACATAATATGAGGTGTAGAGACGTAAGTAGCACTGTACCCCGGATGTCAATACAGCCACCAACCGGACTGAGCAGTTTAATGGTAGCAATCAGATCCCACTGGTTGATACAATAGCCAGCTTCACGTCCAAGATTATAATGTTACAACCCACCGAAACCCCTTCCACTCACAAAATAGGGCCTTTTACCGTATGATAGATTCAGACCATCTCTACTCTCTGTATTACCGAATCAAATCTAGCTGAAAACGTTTTCTGTTAGTCGCATGAGATGATTCGTTGCATTTTTATCTCATTTATTGCATCATGGATGAGAACATATAGGCGTGGTTTCACAATACTGATCGGCACTGCGCAATGTTAACACGCGCGCCCACACCCACACCCACACCCGTATATATATATATATATATATATATATATATATATATATATATATATATATATATATGTATACATATTTACATGGGCCGGCGGGACCGGCGTGGTAGCACACGGAAGGCACGGTTTGGGTCGCCCGCTGACCATCGGTCTCAGATAATATGAACACACCAAACGGCCTTTACTTATGTGGCGAAGACTGCCGAACTCCATCGGTGCCCTGTTTTAGCTCTCGTAGAGACGATTATTCCATCATCCTCAGTCAATACGAACGACCACAGTTCACATAAGGAGAACGAAAAACAATGTGGTTCCATATTTTCAACTTGCATATCATGTGACGATTCGATGTGATTACGCTTTTATTCCACGAATTAGCAATTGACTATGAAATGATGCAGGCATGCTTGTAAAAACGTATCTAAACGTGTTATGTCATTGATGTCAAAACATTGGGTCAAAATAGACAGTGCTAAGACAATTACTCGGAAAATACTACTCTCGTGGTCCTCAGGAGCCTGGAGACTCGCGTGAGCTAAAGATGAGTATAGATATGAAGCAGAATACTAGTCAGGAACCTATCTGTAGAGGCATGACAACCATTTGTCTGCTGTTGCCATCCAACACAAATGGCATAGCTGGCAGCACACGACCACACCATACACTGAAGCCTAGTAACGGTTGAGCCCAGATATTTCAATCTGTTCCGTTCCCAACGCTGGGCGTATACGACGTTACGATATGTTTATGAGCACGCGGAAGCTAAATAAAATGATGTATTTTCGCGAGCAGCAGCATACATTAGCGATCAACAAACCTACCGCATAGTATACTTAAAATCCTTTTTTTATTTTTGCTTGTTCTTGTCATGTAGACAACCAACCGATTGCCTGGAATTTTCTGACAATTTTTGAAGCATCCATAAATAACGTGCTTGCTTCAACACATCGAGTTTTTCATACAAAACGTACTGCATTACCATTATTGAACTTATACTTCAGCGCACCTTTTGGCTTGTTCGGGCTATGCAGTTTTCTGCACACTGTATGATCATAAAATAGGGACTTTAAATAGGACTACTCGAGCCCTATCCAGCACTGCTCAGGACCCTAATTGTCCACTGATAGCATCACCTTCGAACCCTATTTCAACTATGAAAAGCTGGCGATTTACCTAGATCTGCCTCAGGCGACTTAACGCCGTTCTTTTAATGTACGTTATTTAAGCAAATCGCAACATCTGTGGTAAGTATTTTTTTGTTTTTACGGGTGGGGGGTAGGAACTAAGATAAACGGTTTGATATGAATGGTGTCGCAATTCACGGCGAACTGACACTGCGGATAAACTTTTGTACAACCGGTCTAAGAGCGCTGAATGTCATGGCCCATGACCAATGCTAGACACAAGTGTAAATCAAACCTTGCGTATCAGCCAAGCAGAAAAGTCAACTGCTTCTTGAAATCCAGATGTCACGGGCCCCCCAGCCTATTAGGGGCCCCTCCATACTGTTGTCGATTGGGCCCAATCTGGGACCACTAAGATGCTACCAAGGGATACTAAGACCCAATCTAGTACCACTAAGATCATGCCTCGTGGTAAATGGGCCATATCCAGGACTACTAGGACCCTGTCCAGTTCTACTCGGACCCCTTTCATGACTACTAGGACATCTAAGTCCACTAGGGGACTATCTAGGGACACTAGGGGACTACCTAGGGACACTAGGGGACTACCTAGGGACACTAGGGGCTTTAAATAGGACTACTGGAGCCCTATCCAGCACTGCTCAGGACCCTAATTGTCCACTGATAGCATCATCGTTATGGCCGACAACATGGTACATCCCTTCTTGCCAAATCCCCCTTCTTGCCAAATCCCGCGAAGTCCACAGGCCACCGATACCCAGGACATTGTCTCAACACGCGCCCGGGCGGCTGTGACCCCCTGAGATCCCGTGAACTAAGAAAGCTAAAGACACCAAATTTACAGAGTGTCTTAACCTGTACGTGAACTCACTTAGGTCAAAGTTTAAGCTTCCTAGGTCATGACTTTCAGGTCAAATAAGATCAAGATTGGTCTCTTAAGTGCCCCCAGAACCTAGGCAATTGTTTCTAAGCAAAAGGTCACGAGCCCATTTGAGGTCAGTGACCTTGTTTGACCTTTTGAAGGCCACGGTAACCAAAATCTTACAAGATTGCTCTAAGTTTTGCACTTGAATAAGCGACAAAGAGTACGCAAGGCAGCATGTTCCTAAAACAAAATGTCGGCCAGGGTCATCTTAGGCCAAGGACCCGTTCTGATCTCTAAGAAGTCAATGTAAGATGACAAATTCGGTTCCTGCTGTCCATAAATTCGAAATGAGCACCACAAACTATCCCATACAGCAAACCCTAGGAGTAATGAATCAGGTTGGTTTTTGGCCTGGTCTAACCTTCATCCCTGACCTTACGTCAGCATAATTTGCTCAGTTAATATTTGTGGTGCCTAAGAAAGGATCTCAGAGATGAATGGCTTCGTCAAACACTACGTTATTGCATCAGATTAGACGATTCACTAGAAGTTGCCTTCGCTGAAACCATGGCCTGACTTGTATCCTGCCATAGGTCAGCGACCTTACAAGGTACATCTAATTTTTTATGTCAAAGGATTCACTATTCAATTGTCTACAGCTATGCAAAATTTGGCGCGGCGTAGCCGCGCCCTTCGGAAACCGTTCTGAAAAAACCTTCGGGGGAGGGAGTCAATTTGACCCCACTCCCACCCGATCGGGTGTTAAGGGATCGTGCCTACTAAAGTATTCTAGAACTTTTTTCTTATCAGCAGAAAATCCCGGTTTCAAAAAGCACTTCCATCGACTCCAAAACCTTCTGAACACCTAAATATTGCCCTGTGTAAAAGGAACAACCATGGCAATAATGCGGCTTTTAAAAACATACGCCCGGGCAGCCACAAAACTGCGTGCCAACCTTTGGAGTGCATGGTTCGGGCCTAGAAAAGCTAAAAGGGACAAAAGATCGGAATAATTTACCAATACACATGCAGATGCAGACAGGCCAATGTGGGAAAACGTGCAAAAACCTGACAATCAGAACGGGCGAAAACTACAGGGCGGTAAAAAAAAATGCGGGTATAAACCTATGGAAACACGTTTCAGGCACAGGCCATTGTATCGCATGGGAGGAAAGGAAAATTCTAGATTACGAGGAAAACTGAAGATGAAAAATACGGTGGGAGGAGGGCATTTTCACTTCTATGACGACCATATATACTTCTGATACAAACACGGAGGTGCCGAACGCGAACGGTAAATCACTTTATAATGACAGGAGTCGAGCAAAAACAAATGCTCGCGATGTAATGCATAACACCGATCGCGTTAGTAGGCTTGGGGTAGGCCAATTCGTACAAAGGTGCTTTGCTATGAAATGTCACCACGGTTTGCAGGGTGTTATTGCCAGTATTGTAAAATGAAAATGCAGAATACGCTGTGCATATGCTACAGATCTTCACGACAGCAGTTGATAGCCATCGTGACATGGCAAAATTTTGCAAGTTTGAAAAATGTAATATCGAACCGTGAGGAAATTACGTTTCGACAGCGGTGTACACTGTCACCTGAAATGTCAGCCGGTCGTCTGCCTTACTTCCTTGCCCCGCGGTGATTTATATGTTAATAGCGCGGAACTTCTTTTCTCAATACACGCCTAAATTTACTTTTCATATTGACTGACTAAAGGTGAGGAATGGATAGAGATATCCCGTAGCTGTCAATCATTGAAAACAAGCTGGTTCGCTGGTCTGTTTGCATTAACAAAGTCCCAGCTCAACAGTGTTGTCAATCAGAGCATAAAGTAACGTCTCTTTCTCTTTGTCTTCAGTCGTAAATGTGACGGACGAAATTGTTGCCACAATGGAAGCGCACCAAGATGTGCTGCATGCCTACCACTAGCCAATATCTTCAGAATTATTGCGGTGGAAAGGAGCCCAGGAAAAAAACTTTTCAGTGGTCTTAATTCCTTTCAAAAATTTACTACGCAGTACCACTTTTGTCCATGCATCATGACGAGGTATTCTTCACGAGCACATCAATTAATAGAAAAAGCACCGCTGGCTCAGTACAGTAAGCCAGTATCAAGCAATCACGTAAGGTGACCCTTTAATCAGGGCGTACCGTATGCAAACCCTACACGCCTGCTCAATCACGAGAAATAGCAAAGGAAGATTTGTCGGGTATGAATTTTATTGAAGGCATACGAAAACGGCATATGGTTAACGACCCAACACAAAACCGATAGCGACCCGACCAGAGTTACTCCAGTCTCCGCCGGCCGGCCGGCCGCACGAGGCCGGTCGCCCGTCTCACACGCCCGTGCTGGCCCCCATTCGGCCGGCACGGGCTTCGATGAGACGCCAATTTTCAACGACGCACCACCCGGCCGCCGCCATGTCGTTTGTATACAAACGAGGCCTCCAGGCGGCGCTGCGGCGGCGGCGCGAGAGTGGGCCTCACATTCGGCCCACAGATGGCGACGATGTGCTGCGGAGAGCTCACAGCTGACACCATCACGAGCGACAGGAGACTTCGCCGGGCGAGATCTGTGGCGAGCATCTGGAACAAGCATCACCTGGTGACGAACGTATAGTGAAGAACATGGCTCGCCGTACGGCCGTGTCGCCGACCCAGTGTGAGCGTTCACGCAGGCCCTGCACGCAGCATGCAAGCACAATTTTTACAATGATGTTTAACAGACGATACGTCACTTCAACGCAAACCGTGCAAGCCGCACCTCCTTCCCAAAAATGTGATGCGAATATTCCCTGGATGCATATCTGCGAAGGAATAAACACATCCTCCCATAAGCGCTACCTTGCTTTACAATAATTCCCGCGCATAAAAGCCACGCAAGTCTAATCTCTGGAACTTCAGCGCTCGCTTGCAAACAGCTTGACTGCGCTTGCATCTGTGACGTAATGCGTTAAGTTGCATGAGTACAGCACCGGAGACTAGTTGTATAAACCGAAAAACTGACGTCGCTTTTCAGCTGCACGAGATACGCATATAGGCCAAAAATAGGCCAAAAATAGGCCAAAAATACGCTTTGTGGCTTCACCCTAGTCAACAACCAAGAAAAAAACCTACGCCCTACGCAGAATTTAGCTCTTCCCATCCTGGTCCCAAAACGGTGAACTTGAAAAGCACTGTGGGTAATGGTTTCAGCGACAAAACGACCAGACACTGTAGCCTGTTTCATGGGCGAATGGCGCCAATCCAGCAGTAGCAGAATATAATCAGCCCGTCGGTCGGTTGAATGGAACAGTTATGTGAACACCGCACTTGCATCGCTGCTTCAAGGTCCCGTATGCGAATACGATTCGCATCTGCGCACTGGTGTGCCTGTGAAGGTTTGTGTACTGTGCAGCGTTTTTCGATCGGTATCGGATCGGTCACTACACTCAAAGCATACGGAAGGATCAAAATCCCGACAACTCCAAAATGTTAACAGTGTGAGTGCCGGGGGAGGGGATTTCGAGCCCTTCCAAGCGGAAACAGCGGCCACAAACCGTACACACGCCGCCTAGTAAATGAGGGCCACCAGAACGAGTACCCCTCACTGACCTGAGGGGCTGGCAACCTGTTCTTACTCCACCTGCAGCGGGGCTATTAGCGCCACTCGTGAGTATTTTCCAGAACCGAAGCAGGAGTTACGAAGCTCGGTATGTCTGTGCGTGGGTGGGCGCGGGGAAAGGCGAGTTCCGTGGTATGTGCCGCTGTGCTTTCTATGCTGAATTCGTTTTCGGGTATTCTATTCTACAGTGTGCCGCACTGAAAAAGTGCTGCTCCCACTCACCCCTATTTGCTCTCCTTTTCCTTCAGGTTCTCTTCCCTGGGTTTGGCGCCACCAAATATGCTGCTCATCTGCGACGTCTTGGCCACCGTGTTGACGGGCGCGCCCACCGTGCGCGGCTTGAGGTTCAGCTTGGGCCGCCGGGACGCGTCACCTGCAGCCACTGCGACACACGGGTGACGACACGGCCCCGAAGACGGATGCCGTACTCACCACACGCCACCGGTCCGCCGGTCCGCAGCCGCTGGAGTCAAACGTCACCACCCGCGATCCGGGGGTACGACGGATACCACCGGCCTCGCTCCATGCTAACCACCGGCTGGCGGCCGGCGGCGCCGCCGCCATCCGAAGCACGGGAGTGACCGCGCCTCGGCACAGCGCCGTTCGCCGCCGCCAGCCGCCGACCGCGAGCACACTCACTGGGGTCGGCCTCGCGGAACTCCATGTGCGGCGGACCGCCGCCACCGCCGCCGCCGCCGCCGCCGCCGCCGCCGCCGCCGCCGCCGCCACCGCCGCCGCGGCCGCCGTCCCAGGGGCCGTCGCGCCGGCCGAAGCCGCCGCCGCCGCCGCCGCCCCGATCCTCGAAGTCGTCACGCCCTCCTCCTCCGCCGCCGCCGCCGCCGCCGCCGCGGTACCCTGCCGCGGGAGGATGCACGCCGTAGTGGAAGTGGTAGGTAGTGCACGGCGGCGTAGTGGTAGTGGTAGGAGCTACGGCGCAGCATAGTAGGAGCCGTAGCGCCGCCACGCGTGGCGGCCACAGGTTCGACCGTCCACCTTATCGAGCGGCCGCTATGACTATGCGCGCAGACCCAGCACTGCGGCGGATGCAATGATAACGGCGGACCGATCGGGCTAGCTCTCACCCGAAGTGACATTTAAGGACGACAGGATGTGCAACTATTTACCGCCATAAATATTCATATATATATATATATATATATATATATATATATATATAACAGTAAAGTAAAAACAGTACAGCTTCTTCCTACTGCCCGCAGTCGGACCACAGATGGGAGCTGCACCATGGCATCGTTCATCGAAGCCAGCCCCTCGCCGAGCTTCAAAACCACCATCGTACTAGTGATTGTACCCTACCATAAAGGTTATCACTAGGTGAAGAAATCCGCGCAAAGGGTACATAATTTTAGGGGAAAAACTTGGTGGTGAGTGTAGGCATGAGCACAGCTTCACAAAACACTGGGGGTTTTCGGCCGATTTTAGCCGGTAAGATTGCTAGTGGCAAAAGCGCCAGGCACTGACAGTCAAACTTAAATGCAGTGGTGTAAGCTGACAGTAACACGAACAGCAATGGTGCAGTACTAATGCAAAAAACATGCAAAGGACTTTTAGTGTTGGCACGCGGCCTATATAGATGATACAAAATGAAGTGTAGAAACTGGACGTACGTGTAAATAACTATTAACCAGCTGCACTGTGTTAACCATCACGGTAAAAGACGCCTGGTGTAATGAAGTGCTGTACACAAGTTTCAGCCAAACGCGAGAAATTTAGCAGACGTGCATCCTGCGCTCACACATTAGTTTCTACTCAACAGCTGCCGGCCTGCTATTGGTGGCAGTTTGGGGCAGACGCCATGAGAGCAAACGAATTTTGAGTGGTGCCGGCACCGCAGCAGCCAAGCCGCGTGCGTGAAAAGCCAGGCATCCGGGGTTCGATTCCCCGCAGTACCCGTCCTCCCTGCCAGGGGGAGAGGCAGGAGGCCCCCTACAGCCTCAGCAGTGCTGATAGTATTGTAAAGCTCCAATAGCAACTATGTAGCAACTTCAATAGCAACTTCAATCTCAACTATGTTGAGATTGAAGGGTGAATTGTCCAGAATTTCCGTGAAAATGCCAACAAAATGCATACTACATGACGCTGATCTCATGCGTCGGCTGTTAGCCAACAACTCGAAATATTATACACAAAATACACTGAACATTTTAGAACAAAGTACACTGATCAAGCCCGAATCATAAGCATGCTCTCCCAATGTTGAACCCAGCGCGCCACCGAGTGCGCCACTGGGATCAAGCGGAAAAACCACCAGAGAAACGCAACTTCCTGCGACCATTGCCACCAAAATTGCACCCACGATTGCTACCCACTGGTGTATGTTTTTTTACTGTGCAAAAAGACGACCCAAAAATTATGAAAGAGGGGCAGAAAATAAATGGCTGGCTGGTGGAGGGGCGAGGCATCGCCTGCATTGCGAGTGGGGCGTCGAGCCTCGAAGACTTACCTCCTGTGAAGCCGTCTGGCCCTCCACGTCTGCCGTCGAAGCCGCCACGTCTATCATCGAAGCCACCGCGGCCACCACCGCCGCCTCGGGGGAAACCACCCGGCCCACCTGGGGGAGCACACGCCGTCACTGACTTTTGCTCGTGCAGGCCGCCAGTCAGCACACGACCCAGCGATATTGTCACACATACTGTTACCAAGCTAGGCCACTGCCACCTCACGCCAATGTCGGACCCAAGCGAGCAGTGTTACCAACACCACCGAAACACCATCGAAAGCACCGCGGCAAAACTCGCCACGCCTCGACGTACGCTCTTGCATTCGGTGCGCCCGCGTCTCGCCGCACGAGACATTTGCAGCCAAGCAACATCTCACGATTGGAAATGCCAGAGCATGGAATGAGTTTCCGCGCTCCCTTTCGTATCACATGCCTGGCGCGGTCGAGCGCAGTATACGACCGCTACACGCACCAGTCACCTCGCTAGTGTGCGAAGGACAAGTGACATGTACATCGGTGGCACCGGTTGACTAGCAAGGATTAAACCAGACGACGTCAAATTCCTCAGATACCAGGCTATCAATTGAGTTTTGTTCCATGTATCTAGTTAATGTTGGGTCCAAATGGCAACGGGATGCTTGCCACTTCAGGCTAACCACACGGGTGAAAAGGCTCATCCCGCATGGGGTTAACGCAAATACGGATGCACGCCAAATGCGTGCGGGCTCAGAAGATTCATGTCCCGAAAATAACCGGAAATGGACGCACCTGTAGCTTTTTTGTTACGCACACACTGCGTGGAATGTGGTGACATCTGACTGATGATTATTAGTTCTGGGGCTGGCACGCGGGACCAGCACAAGCAGCTCATTCGTCCACATTGAAACCACAAGAGAAACCCCTTCCCATAATCTAACACTGCGGTGCTCTGAACACCCACAACCCTTTCTTCAAAGCGGCCACAGTGAAACAATGACATACAAATCTTTATCACGTTACGGGAGATAACGAATCTTTGTACGAATGGGGAGACTCGCAGTGGCGGTAGGACAATACACGACGGGACGGCGAGAAGCGCGAGTCCCTTCTAACAACGCACCTCGACCACGACCGCCACGATCCCGTCGGTCCTCTGCGATGTCGACACGCAGCACACGCTTGTCGACCTCGACGCCGTTCACCTGCAGAGCCTGCTCCAAGTCTTTCACCGTCTCGAACTCCACATAGCAGAAGCCCTTGAACTCGTTTGTCTCACGATCGTGGACCATGTGCACGTTTTTTAGCTGTGGGCACAGAAAAGAACATCTATGACCGCATCTGACGGCTTACACGATGGAACAGGCAACGCCATTTCGACTACACAAAACCATGCACAAGTGCAGCTGTGCGACATACCGCGGCCGTGAATTACGTCACACGGCCTGGCCTTGGCTCACGCCAGCACGGCATTGAGACGAATGGCAAAGTGAGCTGTAAACCCAACTTCAAACAAAACGATGTGTGCCTTGAAAGCTGCCTCACTGGTATGTCCTGAAATATGTGATGTATGTCCCCCTGGACGGTGTAGTCGGGCAAGTTGCCGACGAACGCCTTGAAGGGCGGCTCAGTGGGCAGGGGCTTCTGAGGCCGGCCGCCGTATCCGCCGCCGCCGCCGAACCCGCCGCTGAAAGGACAACACACAGGACGGTACTAGACGTCTGGTCGGTTGCAATCGAATTCAGACGGCAAGGCGCTGCACAGCTGCACTTCCCTAGAAATCACGGCAAAGACTAATTGCCACCCAGTTCAATTGAAAACGGCGACATACTGAGATAGCCGACGCGAAATAAATAATACAAAGCCATTGATCGCAAATAGCACATGCTCTGATCCAACAACCCTCACGGTAAAATTTCACTATAGCGCATTCCTAGCCGAAAATTTATAATATTCCAAACCAGTATTGGAAAACTTGACGTTTCCTGGTACGATGTATACCAGAAGATCTTGTACTCCAGGACTGTGACTAGGCAAAATAAAATACGTTGTGCTCCATCATGATGCAACGAGAGCAGCTTTTGGAAAAAACTCATTTTACTTCTTTGTGTCAAGACAAAATAAAACCAGAAGACGCAACAGCTTGGGACTTGCTGCCTCCATCAGGAACCATGTATTGATACCTGCAAGAGCACAAATCTTGCACCCACCAGACTAAGATGCCCAGTAGCAAGCAGCCTGTGTTGCCACCTAGGTTTATGATAAACCATGTATGGAAATGTGACAAATAAAGCGTACGAATGTTGAATGGAATCGCCTTTGAACAATACCGGGAAATGAGAAACGAGTGCCAGAATCGCACCGGTCTGTAGATTAGCAAAGCTCTCCCTTCCTATGCCCTACGCAGACCAACTCAAAGTTGAACATGACTTAACCTACCATTGACGACGAACCGTATTAATTGCCAAGGATGCAACGAACATTCATAGAAAACCGCACGCCCAATTACCTACCGCAGATGACGGTCTACCCACGCGCCACCACTGTGTCATGGCAGCGCAAATAACGGAATCACTCGCAATTCAGCGTCGGAAACGTCTCAACTATTCAGCGGCTTGCGCCCACCTCCCAGCTCAGGTTGGAGGTTGAACAGTAGCAAACTATCCAATTGGTTTTAATGATTCGCCTTCTCGCAACTGATTTGTCAAGAGCATAAATATTCTGTTCGCGCTCATAACTTGAAGAGATTTGTAAACATTTGGAGGAAAGCTGTATAGAGACGGACATCACGATTATGAAGAAGGACTTATTTGTACTCATCCAGAACTGCCATGTGATTGGATTTTTGGCCACTTCCTGGTATCCAGAACACAAAAAAATGCTACGGCAGCTGTGGATTTAAACCAAGTTAAATTTGTCACTTAAGGGTATGCAATTAAAGCTGGTAATTCAGGCTCTACAAAAATACCCTTTTAAGTCGAAAAAGGTTGCTATAAATAGCTTTAAAAAACTGTTCGGAGACAGCCATCTCACTCCGGCAAAAACACCAGGACAACAGCGTAACATGAACCCATAACTTTCGGCCCAGCAAATCAAGAAGGGTTTATCAGGACAAAAACATCACTTACTGCAACCTAAATTACCATATTTCGCAATGATAGGAAATGATACGATAGGTTTCAGCGCATCAAAATCAATTACTAACTTGCATTATCCGCCGGAGTCAGCGGAGTGAGTGACTCCCATCCCTTTTGGCTGGCCTGCATGGGTCAGTCAGGCACTGTACTTGCGCAGGCTCGGTAAATCGGTTAAGAATGCTGTCTGTATTTATAGTTCCGGTGGGACGCGAAGGGCCTCGTGTGCTGACCGGGAGTGGGAAGGTGAAGGACATGAATGTTAAGTTGTATTTGAAACCAGTTAGCTGGTGGAGCGTGAGTAGCGTGACCGTGGTGGAGCGTGAGTAGCGTGACCGTGGTGGAGCGTGAGTAGCGTAACCGTGGTGGAGCGTGAGTAGCGTGACCGTGGTGGAGTATGAGTAGGTGGCCGTCTGTGGCATGTTCATTTGCATTTTTTGTGTACCATTTTCGTCTGGCTGTGCGTTTCGTACCCACCCTCCATTTTGGAGGGCGTGTAAGCCCGGTGTGTGGCCACCCTCCATTTTGGATAGTGAATGAGCCCCGATGCGTAATTACCCTCTGTTTTGGAGAGTGTCTACACAGCCTTTCATAAATTGCAAACCACTGTATATGCACATGTGTTTCATAGTACAGGGTATGAGACTGTGTTGTTTCAGTATGCCATGTTTAATACTGATGTTTCTTTTCATTTAAAGTGCTTTTACATGAATTGCTGCACATGGAAAAGTGGTGCTTTTGTTGAGCGCCACCCAATGTACTATTATCTCTCAAGGACAACCTAAATAAAGTTGTAATGACCTGCAGCACTTGGTTAATTTTGTACTCCACTATAGAAAATGTGCACTCTGCTACCACGATTTTTTGGGGAATTTCCAACACTGTTCCGAACTGCCACCCGCCCCATCACTGCTAAGCTAAGAATCAGTTGTAAGAATCAGCCGACTGAGCTATGTCAAAGCAACATCCTCTCCTTGCTCATGCCTTTAGCCCTCAAAAACTAAATCAAGTTCAATATTCTTTTAATGAAAAATTGGTGTACCTCTCGGGGTTTGCCTGTAACATGTACGCGATCACACTATTAGTTGCACACACACACTTTGCACGCAGCAGGTGCTTCATTTTTTGGCACCCTTACGAAACAGTCATGGCCACAAGCTTGCCCTGAGAAAATCACCCCGTTGTCGACGCACCCTTAACCACAAACGCTTGTTCCCAGGCTCTCCCCAGTGGCCCTTGTACCCAGACAGGGACTTCCCCGTTTGCTCGGACCCGGTGAATCGGAGGACTGCTCCGGAACATGAAGCGAGGTCGTGCCATCGCGAAGGGCCACTGGGCCGATGGATCTATCTGAAGCCAGGCTAGGCTCGTGACCCCGCCGCCGCAGGCCCTGGTTGGTACAGCGTTAGTCCCGCGGCCGGTCGACCACTTCCAAGTTGCTGCAATCTCCTGGGTAGGAGCCTGTCGAAGAGAAGCCTACCGAAGCTGGGCCAGAACCAAGGATGACGCAACTCAAGTGGCAAGCACATTTACAAACTGCGCCACTGGGGCGGTAAATTTTTTCACTTGCAACTTATTGGGCATAAAGATTGACCAGATAGTAACACAAGTCATGTTTGCATAAAATTTGGCCTCAAGACCAAAGGCTTTGTGAAATAAGGACAACATATTTTGAATTTCTAAGACTTTTCATGAGCACCAGGAACCATGAACTTACATGTTGCCAGTTTTGTGATTTTTATATGTATGCAATATTGGCATACATAGGTACCTGATGCAGTTAGAAGGACAAGATTCAACTTCCTGAGTGTATGGAAAAAAGGTCAAGGAAATTCCTTCCTGCTCTGCAAACTTGGTGCCCAGTTCTTTAAGGCTTTGATTCCTCATGTTGATCCCCCACCCCTTTACCCTGGCATGTCTTACTTATCGCTGCCAGATGCACATGCTAGCACATTCAAAATGATAATGAGAGAGGACATTAGCCCCTAGTGCCCCCCCCCCCTCCCTCCTTGAAAAATGCCTGTGACTTCCTGTGTTAAGTGCTCATTCCAGTAAGCTGATGTTCAGTCTAGGAGCCTTTTGCAGGAACAATGACAGACTTGTGTAAAGAATGTTGGGCACCATATGACTACACAGTTGGTGCATCCTTTAGACAAAATCCTCCTTGACACAAGCAAGGATGGGAGGTGATACCACACTAAACCTGGTGCATGCAGGATGCCCTACCTAGATAATATGGCATTTTATCATACTGTTAAAAAAACTAAAGGTATCACTCAGATAACAACCACATCTAAACCAATGCTTATAACAAAAAAAGAATTCAAAGGAACACTTGAGCTATGATAACTGCATTTTGGAATGAGAAATAATTATCATCATGTTCAACATGATGCATGGGACCATTTTCTCAGCTGTTGGCAAACTGCCCTCAAAACCACAGCCAAGATGTCAGGATGTCATGCTTTGACAGCATAAGTAAAAGACTGCAAGAAAATGAGCATGCTTGAAAACAGTTCAAGCACAACACCCACTTGGTCAGAATGGAAAAGATGGCTGAATCTGGGGCATTAACCTTTTGCACACAGTCTGCTCCAATTGAGCATAGTATTTGCACCAACTCATTAAATCTGTGGCTCTTGCTAGCTCACTCTCTATTTGGCAGCTTGGTGACTGCCCCAGAGCAAAGCTGATAATGGTTGAGGAGCATATACATTGGTTCACAGCTGGTATTGGTTGGGGAGTGTATACAGCTGTCTTGTAGCCATTTAGAGAAGTTTGCATTACTGAATCAGTGCTAGATGCTTGCATGGGGCAGGCAAGTGGAGCCGTGATTGTAAGGAGCAGCCAAGCGTATCATGCTGGAGAGAGTGGGTGGGCAGAGATGACCCTAGAGCTGGTCAGCTGCAACGGGAATGTGACAACACAAATGAGAAACTTGATCTTTATCTGAAGTCATTTGGGTGCAATTGGCATTGGTGATGTTAAATAAGCAGTTCACAAAAATATCCATTAATCAAAATGTTGTTCAGTGGTGGCAACATACAAACATGAGCAATGTCTCTTTGAAATATATGATAGGGAGTATTGCTCCTTATCTTATAATATACATATATATAATTTAACATACCAATCCCCATTTATTCTACTGTAACTTTCATGAAATTTAAGAGGAACAAAGTACATACAGGTACATATTAATTATGCAATATGTGGAGAAAGACTGAGGGGGAACAGTAATCAGCCTTTTAAAATTGTTAATAAATGTCCCATTAGGATCAGACTCCTTTCCAAGCATAATATGCTGCCAGTAATTGCTCCAAACCCATCATCAGTTGAAGGGGCTTTCAGGCATACCAACTGTGGTGGTCATATGGCAGCTTTGTCAGTTCACAGAAGAACCTTTGCCAAAATATTTTAACACACTATGTTATGATGCAACATTGCTATTCTGTGCCAGCATGCATTGATCTGCACTTAAGGCAATGTTGGCTGGCCCAGTTCCATGGTTTGCACATCAACCATCCACCACACATGGCAAAAAGGAATCATTGTTTTTAAAGACTGCTTTTAGCTTGTAGTCTACTGTGAACGCATTCACGCTTTACCACTGGGTACATTCTTACACTGTACACAAGTTTCCTATACTGTAACACATGTTGCTACTACCTCTCCTGCCCCATTAATGGTAGGTTTTGTTGACATATATTTCTTCCATTGGGTAAGATCACTGGGCAGCAGAACAAGCACTGACAAAAATATCTCCACATTACAATGTCAGCAAATATGGTTGGCCCCCTTCCAGCAGCCCAAAGTTGATCCAAAAACAGGTCACTGATATCTGGCATTATTGCTGCTTTTTTGCTTAAAAAGTCAAGATGTACAGATCCTATTAGATATGAATTACAAAAAGATTCTTCACAAACAAAAATGCTCTTTTTAATAATTGTCAATATAAACATATATTACCACAAAGGATCACATGAAACCATGGTGCCACTAAAAGGCCATTATTGTTAAGATGCTCAAAATATAATTTCAAGACAAAAAAAGATTGCTTGCTCATACTCCTCAGAAAAGTTGTCCAGAATGTAGGCCCCTTCAGTGATGTCCATAAGAATGGTTCACACAGTTGACAGTGTAGGCTCAGTAAAGGATGGCACAGGTTACTTATAAAGCTCTCTCCAGCCACATTTCTTCTTATACCATATGTACTTGCCAAGCTCAGCCCCCCCCCCCCCTTCCTCTCCCCTCCACCCAAGTAAATTAAGCCCCAACTGAAAATGGTGTGAGATACTATGCATGTCACCTTCAACAATACTGCATCATTTCTATGCATGTCACCTTCAACAATACACCATCATTTACAAAATGTATGCATGATTCATGCTACCACAGCCCAGACTACACAAAATACATGTCACACCAAGCATTGCAGTGACATCCAGGTTGTGGTTACAGAGCACACAGACTGTAAGTCTGAGAGCCCCAAGTTTGGTGAGCATCAGTCCTCTATTTCAGCACACAGATAACCAATGTTTCAGGAAACCCTGACATTGCTCAGGTAACTTTATGCAAACATGCCCTGAAAACATGCTTTCAAGCCAGATTACAAACTTGAGGGCAATTTGACCTAGCCCAAGTTTAGTGCATGTCCCAGGTTCAGCACACTAAAATGTAAGAACAATACACAGTGGAAGGATTTTTACAGCCTGGAAAATAGGGGCGAGGCACAGTTCCCTACTAAATAGGCACTCCCCACCAACTTTGAGTGCACACAATTTTCGGTAAGCACATTTTGGTGTACCCTGGTAAGCACTTTAGCCCTTTCCTATACTCAACCGCTACCTCCAAGAGATTTGGCGAAAATACTCCATCTTTACCACACCTCACGGACGGATAACGCCCAGCATCACGGAGAGGCGAATACAACGCACTTATCATGAGGCCGCAAGGCATAGTACACTACTTTTCGCGGTCCAACCGACATTCTTGAAACGCAAAAAATATATATACTCCCTAAACAGCCATACCCGCACACATCTCAATGAGAAAACGTTTGAACTTACCCGAAATCATTCCCGTATCTCCCAGCCATGCTTTCCAACCCGGAAAAGGCACGACGCCATTAAACGGTCCCAGGTATAGCGATAAGGGAGGTGCTAAAGTGCTGGCATATTTTTTGTAAAGGGCTGATACGCCATCAACCATTTTGCCGTGGATTGGTTGCCGCAAAAGGTAAAATGATCGACACACCGTGGTCTATCGACCCGAATTAAGTGCACGGTGGCGCGTGGGTTCGGAACATCGTCTTCCCCCGGCCAATGAAGCTCAAAATAGCCCATTTTCGGTGCTGGAGCGCCAAAAACATAATTTCTTACCCTGATCACAAAAACACCAGTCGCGTAGCGATGTAAATATTGACCTAGGAAACGAGCATGGGAGATGTAAAACATATATTGTATGACTCATGGACCAGCACAGCTCAAAATGTTTCGTACTTTGGTTCCTCTCACTGGGTGTAAGCACGCCTCGGAGATGGAGCCGGGGATATACATGTTCCGTATCACATAGATGCGGGAACAGGGAGAGGCGCGGGAGGGATACCTTGGCTTCAAGCTTTATAGGCTGGGATGGGGGCAGTTCCCTCTCCATCCGCTTTTCCTTGACAGTAATAGAGCTCATCTTAAATGTTTCATCCACAAAATCGGAAAAATAATCACAGGAATTCCTAGAAAAACGGAAAACGGGCTTTTCTTCGTGAGGCTCTGATAACTTTCCGACGCTTTTTTAAGTTCCTTAAATGTCACTTTTTGTGATAAGGAGACAAAATTTTGGTTTGGTGGAAGTTGGCTGCTTCGCGGGTCCTCGTCAAAATGACAAATTGTCGGTCTGAGTAAGGATGCACCCTGTTATGTGTATATTTCGGTTTATCAATCTGCATCATCATGCACATCACACCCAGCCCATCAGACAGACCAGTACAGATGTAGGATCGGCCAGTACTGCTGACTCACGGATGGCTCAAGGCTCTTGCAAGATTAGATTACTCGGCATGGGTTGGTCTGGGTGGCAATAGATGCTGATTCATATTCAGAGCGCTATTCGTGAATTTGACCTGCTAGGGTTCCCGTTATGTACACACACACACACACACACACACACACACACACACACGCACACACACACACACACACACACATATATATATATATATATATATATATATATATATATATATATATATACATACAGGTCTTAGCAGTCCAGGTTTTGTGCTCGTGGCAAGGGAGGAGACATCAATATCTATCTTTTGGACATGTTTTTTTTGGCGAAAATCGAAGGCGTGCGTTTTAAATGTTGTGACCGCACACGCTACAGCTATAACTCCGCTAATCGGTTATAAGAGTGGGACCTATGTAAAGCTGCGTGCGGGTTGTAGTTTTTGTGAGACTGCCATGCCACATCTGTAGGTCAAATGTCATGTTATCTGAAGGTCCGCTGCCTGGCGAATATCAAGATGATAATTAGTCCGAATATGTTGCCAACTTGATGAGCGTACTCAACATGGCGATATCACATCTTTACGGAAAGATTGAGACGAAGTATTGATGTTACCGATGGAATCATTGCTTCGGCTATGGTCCTCGTCTGTTGTGTTAGCATGTACACAATTTTTCTGCCAGCATGTACACAATTTTTCAGCCAATTTTTCACTCTCCGGGCGTCGTCAAGTGTTATGGAGTCTTAAAAATAACTGGATTGTGTTTGGCTTGCAACAATGTACACGTCAGTGCTTGAATTCTCCCAGTGGAATTGTTTTTTTTATGCAATCCCAATGGGAAAACAAGGCAGGGTTTTTTGGCGGCTAGTCTCGAAGACCCTGGTTCGAATTCCAGCAATGCTAAGGCGATAACACGGGCTGTGACACGTACGTGGCCGAAAGCCAATGATAATCCAGTCCTTCCAAGGACTCCCATAACACTTGGCGGCGCGTGCGGATATGTATATATATATATATATATATATATATATATATATATATATATACACATTCCGTTAGGCTACGTGCGCATCAGCAACAGAGTTACTTGACGAAAAAGCTAAACATGGCCCATACCTATTTGCCTACTATTGATCCGGATGCTTACATATTCAATTGCTACAGTGTTTGCACAACATGAAATGAAAAAGAAGCTATTAAGGAAGCCTTTATTTTCTCATCCGACACTTAGATGAGGTGACATGGATACACTGTGCCATGCTGTTATCTTTTTTGTGCTATCATTTGAGCCACATATTAAGGCAAAATATCAGTGGTAATCGTGATAACGACGTCCGCTCTGGCCCGTGGGCTCGTCCATGGATTGCATTACTTTAGTTTAAGGTCGCCCCTCAATTATGAATGAAAGGGGCCATTGACCCATCACGACGAGACTGGTGTTTCTTGTGCTGTTTCGCCACCTTTTTGCGTTCAAGCTGTTTTCAGCTTCCGGTCGTGATGGTCAACCAAGTCGCGCTACGGGTCCACTCACCAGCTGGCCCAGGACTGGTCAACAATTTATGAACAAAGTTATGCAGATTTACATACCAACTTTATTGCATCGTCTTACGCTGTCATGACATAGAGCTAAAACAGACCACCACAGCGGTAGGACGGCCGAGCGTCAGAAGCGAAAACAACTCGAGATCTCTGTACTAACAACGAGGAACTACTGCAGGAGTTATCGCCGAAGCACGGTGGATATTTGGCCATGCATTTTTTGACTCTTTGTTCATTTGTTCACAGCACGTACCCTTCTTCACCGTAGTCGCCATTACCTCCGTCATGACAACCGCCGTGTGTACCTCTGCTGGTGCGAATAAAAGAGCGTTTGTGATTGTTCCAGCAGGCGGCAAAAGCCAGTTACCGAAAAGCGCACGGGTTAAAGTTTTGCACCAGTGTTTCACGATGGACCATGTGCACCCCATTCCCAAAGCCAAAGTACGGCTCGAGAAGAGCTTCAGTGGTAAATGTCATGATGCAGAAAAAGCCATAATATATTGTTTCGTTGAATTCGCGGGGTTAACAGCTTCATGTCTGCATATATTTTTGCCTCAACAGTGTTTCCGGCTTAAGTAGCGTTTATTACGAACCATGTTTACAAATTAGAGTGTTGCAAACATTACAGAGTGCAGCCGTTGGAAAAAGTAAGCCAAATGAAATGCACTTGTTCATAATGGTGACCAGGTAGTTCACTGCAATTTCTCCCGCACGCGCGGCTACTTCAAATCAAATTTCCGAGCTCTTCAGACGGATTTCGCAAAACTGGTATCCCTGATCAAATCTCGGCGTCTGATCTATCAACACGTAAAAGGTAAAAAGGGTGGGATGCTCCCTTTAACTGCGGATAGGACATAGGGCCACCATTTTATCGATAGTGAACGAACTATTGGGCGTAGACATAGATAACCATGAAGCCAAATGCGTAAAGTTGAACGAGGAAGTAGCGGTGTGCTAATCACAAGTTTATATGCCTAGCAGTTGAAATGCACTAAGCTTGAAAAGTGAAAGTGTGCGCATGTAGACTGTTGGAGATCGACAGACTGAATATCGGGCTACCGTCTAACGAATAACGAGTTGGCTGTTAATATTAGGTGCCTGTATGTGTAAAACGATCAAGTGTTATTAAATGGCAGGCATGGTCATGTGCTTTACAAGCTTATGTTCACCAAAGCTGTTAAATTCGATGGGCGTGGGTAGTTGCTACGCCTACGCGGAGTGATGGGCACTAGGGTGGGGCGGAGCCCCAAACTTCTTTAATATTGAACATTCACCCCTACGATAACTGACTTGAAAGAAGCAACCAAGGTGGCTATCGCTACCCACTTCATTCCACACCTAGCGTGGGAGAACTTCCGTTACCCCCGTGCCTATGCGGGAGCAGGCCAGCACTCTGCGCTGAGCGATTATTGTATTTTTTTTTCCGAGGCGCGTGGCAAGTGGAGCTGAAGTAAACATAGAAACCTCATGTATATTACGAGGCACAAATGTCGCCACGCGAGACTGCACAAGTGGTCGCCGATGCCAAAACAATAGCCAGCCATGAACCAGGTTTGCACGGGCCTGTGTGCTGTTGTTGTTAATTAGAGTTTTTGGGTGCGCCGACTGCATAGGTCACATTGTGCGCATAACTTTGTCATTTAGTTACGAGGTCAGTATATAGAGCGAAATCCGATTCCTGCAAGAAATGAAAACAGTCGGCCATCTTCAAAAAGTTGCGAGTGATTACCAAGAATGTCACTCAGCGTAAGGGAGGTAGCGTTTCACCCAAGGTAAAGCGAGCGCTCCCCGGCGAAATGTGGACATAGCTTAACTACATGATGCACGGTGAGAAGTGCATGGCAACGAGGGCATTGGGGTCTCTAACCACCACATAACAAATACCGGTGAGTCTTGTATGTATGGCCAATACGCAGCCTGCAAAGCACAACTTCTTCTCCCCTTGAATCGCGGAAGCTGGAAGACTATGGGGCCCAATTCAGGTTTTATATGTTTCAGTTTGCTACTTTTGTCATTGTTCTAACAGAATTGCCAATGATGTTGCAAGAAAGGTTGGATGAAAGGCTGATAAATGGCTGAATAAATTTCGAGCTGGAAGAAGCAATCTGCGCGTAAATGGTACATGTGATGCGCGTTTTGCGACTGCGTCAGTGAACTCATTCCCAAAGATACCGACATTAATGGGAATTTAACACGCTGTCACCTCCTTTCCAACTTGGTCCAATGCAGTGAGATGCATCAAGATGTCCTGCTAAAGAGGACAAGATTGGTTGAAAGCTCTCAGGGCCATGAGGCCGCTCAAAGAATCAGTTAAAACGAGGTGCAAGGACCCATTCCCAACTTCAATAAAACAAAGTGCCTTGATTATGGCTATCAGTTCGGAGGTGAATACCGACGCGTGTCTTGGCAGTGTGAATGATCGAGTGACGGATCCACTCACAAATGCACAGCCGACACCGTCTGAAGTGTTGGATCCGTCCGTATAAGTTATTATGTGCCCCTCGTACGATCCCACGTGCTCTAGCCCCATGGAACAGAACAAGTCAGGTATCAGGGTATGCTTCCTTGTTTTAGCCAGCGAAGTGTCTACTCTAGGCAAAATCAGAAGCCATGGTGTGGCATATGCTGCACCCACATCACGCTGCAAAGAGGAATGCCACTGGCATCAACCAAAGGCATTATCCTAGCGCAAACAGGGGCGGAATGTTGATCCGGATCACCACGAAACACAGCTGTTGTCCGATGCGAGAAAACTGCATCATATGTCGGGTGAAAAGGGATTGCCGCAGCTTTAGAGCATATCTCAGGCCAAGCATTTCTCGCCTAGCCGACAGCGGCGGCTCGTTGGCCTCAACAAGAAGGCTTGCGGCAGGTGATGTTCGAGATACTCCTGAGATGATGCGGAGCGCTGTGTGGTGGATAGTGTCCAAAGGACGCTTGCTTGAGTCACTTGCGCTGTCGTGTACAAAACATGCGTAATCAAGCTTGGAACAGATAAGTAAACGATATAAAAGCATGAACGTTTTGCTATACGCACCACTTGATGTACATGATCCACTTTTAAAATGTTCAAAGCTTTAAAGCATCTGTCCAGTAGGGTCTTAAATGCGCCTTATATGTGAGACGACTGTCGAAATACACCCCAAGGTATCTGGTTACCGACTCAGTGGGAATGGATTGGCCGTAAAGACGGAGAGTCAAGCCATCACATTGACGGCGGCGACAGAAGCTCGTGGCGATCGTTGTCGGGGAGGAAAACCGAAGCCCATTAATGGTGCTCCACCTTTCCAGATAGCCAATAGCCAACTGGAGCTGGCGCTCCATTACATGCATTCTTGATGCGTTGGTCCATAGGGTAAAATCATTTACGAAGAGAGTGCGGCCGACTGACTGCGGTATGACGTCAACGGTGTCGTTTATCATGATAGCAAAAAGCGCCACATTAAAAACGCTCCCCAGAGGCACACATTTACCTGTTGAAAAGGTGCAACACCTCATTACCCATACGCACACCGAAGAAACGTTCATCTAAAAAAATCCAAAAAGGTGCCCACATGACCGCGTATGCCATGCTTGAAGAGTTTTAATAAGGTGCCTTGTTGCCACGTGGTATCGTAAGCAGTTTCAAGATAGAAAAAGACTGTATATATACGACGTTTCCCTTTAAAACCTTGCCGAATTATAGTTTTGAGTGTTAGAAGGTGGTCCACCGTATTAAGATTCATGCTGAAACCGCACTGTGCATTAGCTCATGATACTTCGATCCGGTAGCACAAGCAGGGGGGGGGGGGGCACAGGGGGCACGTGACCCGCCCCCCCCCCTTGGGTTCTGAAGGGCCCGAGGGGTCCCTCAGAACCCACGATTAATGACACGATTTGAGGGCCCCAAAGGCCCGAAAGGCCGGACGGAGGTCGTGTTCAGGGGCGCCGGTCGGACGGCCGGGCATTCCAATGCCAGCCGGAATGCCCTACGCGCTGATAAGCGGGTCCCTGAGTCGAAAAGGACCTATGCGTCGGTCAGACACCACGAACAACGCACAGTCTGCTCCGTGATGATATGAACCTAAGGGCCCATTCTCCAAGCAGCTATAAAGCCGGAGCCAGTGATTTACGTTGGCCAAGGCCCCATAGCCCATAACGGAAACCATGTGTTGGCAAGAGGCCCGAGTCGGCCAGAGGCAGTGTTCGAGGAGGCCCGAAGTGTCCGGAGGGCCAACCGGATACGACGATTAAGGGAACGATTGGAGGGTGTGAGGGCATAAAGGGCTGGTCGGAGTCTTGTTCAGGGGCCAAGACCTGCGAAGACCCTCACATGACGGTCAGAGTGCCCCGTGCGTCTCTGAATCGACATGGGCCTATATGTCGGTCAGGTGTCACCGCACCACATAGTCGGCTCCTTGTCGGTATGGGCCTGAGGACCCACTTCCCAATCAGCTATAAAGCCGATTTACACTGGTCGGGACTCCTGTATCTGTCAGAGACACACGGCGCCTAACAAAGGGTTTTATGCCCCGCGCCAATGGCCCAGAGCCGACCAAGAGCAGTGTTCGATGAGGCGGAAGGGGGCCTGCGCGGCCCAACGGAACCGACTATGAAAGTCTCGGTTGATGGGACAAGGGCCGGAAGGACTGGCTTTAGGTCAGATTAACGGTTTCAGAAACACGAAAAATATATACCTTACCTTTACTCTTACAGCTCCACCACGAAATTCGAACAGACTTGTTAGCGTAGAAGCTAATCTGCTCTTCTCATCAATCTAAAAATCGCACAGGTAAAATATACCCCGGACTTCCTTCTAAATGTACGTTTAATGCCCGAGAATATCCAATGGTATTTCTTTTAAACGTGTGACAATTTTTGTCCACCTGTTGGTAACAGCTCAGTGTTGGCCACGGGGCCAAAGCTCCACGGCCTTTGGAAACTGCAATGCCTGGTATCGAGGCTTTATTGCCAAATTTTGCGAGCGCGCGTGTTTAAAACTGCATTACATCATTTGCATCGCTAATCAATTCTGATCGAATGCTGAACATTTCTAGGCAATCATGGGTTAACCACGTTAATACAAATTGTTAACCTATTTGATCTAGATTCGTGGGTACCTCAAGCACTTAGAACAGCCAAGATATAGATTCTGACAAAGTTTTTGAGTTCCATCGGATTAGAAAGAGTCCACTGCACCACTGTAAAATGAAGAGCACCAGTAGCTTATTTCATGCAGTCGGTTAACGCGTTATTTCTTCAGTTTATTGTCCATAAAATTCATGCAGCCCTCATCTCGCGGCATCCTCTAGCTTCCTTTTCAGTTATAGAAGATACAAATTTAGAGCATCGAGACAACATTCCCTTATTAACAAAAGACCATATCCAGCAATTTTGTTTTTGTTTTTCAGGGGGGGGGGCATTTATCGTTAGGGGCCCTTTGTCAACCTCCTGCCCCCCCCCCCCCCCCATTGCCAGGGATCTGGCTAAACGCCTGCTTGTTGACGGACGCTAGCTCCCGCGCTTGTAAATATTTTGATGGTTGCAGTTTCCAAATCGGCCGGCAATTTTTGGATGACGTTGAGTTCCCCTCCTTTGAGCCAACCTTTAACCTCGAAGGTCACATGACATTAAAAAACAAAGGTCGTTTGCTAGGTGCTCGTGCCATAATTGACCTTAAGACCTTTTTCACAGAAATCGGAACTCGTCGCTGCTTAAATCACTGAAAAATTGCTCACTTCACGGACGTGGCCCGCCGTACATTTTAAGTCTCGGAATCAGTGACGGCGTGCAAATGAAGATGGAGCGAGAGTTTTCGGACTGTTTTGCATCTCTTGTAAAGCCTTGGATGTGCCAGTATTGTCTACAGGACCGTTCGTACGTGTTCTAGGACTTTGGATCGTACCATTGGCGCGTGTGAAACAAGCATCGATAAGACTGCGTAGTAAATAGTGATAATATTGAATGTGAGGTTCAATGATAGCATTTTATGGCGATTCTTACGTTTCCAATGAGTTTTGGTGTTGTACGTTTTGAAGTAGTTGTCTTTTATGATGTACTGCAGAGTTGTGGTCTGCATGCACTTGTTCTTACGTAGAAGATGTACGGCTAGTCGCTCACAGCCTGTCAATTTTTATGGAAGGGCCAGCTCAGGACCTCTAAGGCATGCTGTTGCTTGAGTGTGTAGTTGTCGAGTGTGTAATTTGCTCCGGTGCATACTCAGGCCACATTGTGAAAAAGTTCATGTTACTCAGAGCATGCTGGGTCTATTGGAACATGTAAATTTATATGCATGCATGCATATATGCATCCTAAATTTGTTGCATGGTGACCCCAAACTTCCCTGCATAGGGGGCCAATATTTTTGAAAAAATTCTGATGTGGCTTAGATAGTCCAGTAAAAATACCTCAACATATACCGTAAAGAAACCAATCGTAAATTTCTAATAAAAAGCAGTTCAAATAGATCTAGAAAAAGCTAAGTATGTGCATGCTCCAGGTTAAGCACACTAACACACCCACATAAAAAGTATCATTTTGGACTCTGGATGAATCTTTAGCAAGTTGGTATCAGAGGTGTGGTTCTGTTTGCAAAAAGTTCATTCACTGTCATAGACAGAACAGAAGCTGCCTGACTCCATATGTGCCTACGCTGTACTCAGGGCAGGGTGGATGGTGCTGTATTCTCATTTTCTTTTAGTGTGAAAGATGTTTTTGAAAGTTGTCGGCTGAAATTATGATTACATGATTATTCGCCAAAATATGGAGCTGTGGGAGGTAATTTAGAGCAATGTGTTGCAATTTATGGTGATGGCTGACCAAACCCTGAGTACCCTGGTTTACAGCACTGCCTGTACTTAATTTTTTTCTGCGAGTAGTTGCCATGCTGCATGTTTGGCATAACATGCATTTTTGCGGCTGGGGATGTAGTCACATATTCATTGGATTGTTGGGCTCCACCCCTTCCATGTCTAAGAAAAGATATAAATTGTGAAAAGCATATTTTTTGGGTGCATCATGATGAGGAAAGGTAGGTTGTGTTCCCCTGGAGATGCTGGTGCCTTCCCCCTGCCCTGTGCCAGACCAATTTTTTAAAAAAGTTTTAGATATCTGTGGGCCTTGTAAATCATCATAAATGGGTCATGAATGGAGATACCCCAAATGGAAAACTGGAATTCTATGGTGACAAATGGGGTTGCTGTCTGAAAGAGTTTCCTATGCCCTTCATTTGACCCACCCAGACGGAATCTTGTCTGCACTGCTGGATTGTTTGGTACAAACTTTCAACATTGGTATACAGATTAAAGAAGTCATAAGTAAACAAGTTTGCAGAAAAGTTATTGCTTACATTTGTGTTCTAGTTATTGTGTTACTGATTATGTTTTGTTCTACTTTCAGACATCACATCAGCTTTATATAGTGCAAGATGGGAAACATACATACCACAGGGCCAAATGAAGCAATGGTGGTTTCAGGTATGCTTTATTTAGTAATAATATATATATATATATATATATATATATATATATATATATATATATATATATATATATATATATATATATATATATATATGTATATATATGTATATCACCCTGGACATTTGAGTAATTATGGAAACACATTTTCTATGTGATTGATGTTTGTAGGTCTTTACCATGTTGAATATACACTATTTTATTGTTTGCCTAAGTACAGTGTGTGATGCTATTCTACCCACTGATAAGCTGTGATTTTACCAGATAAGCATGTTGAAATTGAATGATGATGCCTCAATAAACTCGTTCCATAGGTTAGCCCTATCATTTCAGGTGGCTGTTTGGGAGGTACAAACAAGAGAACTATCGTGGGTGGCTGGGCCTGGGCCTGGTGGTGTGTTACAGATGTTCAGAGCATCAGTCTTGAGGTAAGCTTTACAAGGCCCATCTGTCATATTGTGTGAATAACCTGGGCTGGGTTAGAATGTTGTGAATGCCTTCCTTTTACAAAGTTTGGCTGAGCATACCATTTGCATGCTTACATTGACAGTATCTACCATGGTATGAGATGTGTAAGATATTTCCTGCACATCAATGGCATTTATTGAGCCAGTCAAACTACCAATGCTCTGTTACAAAGTTGGACTATAACAGATTTGCAGCATGCATGTTATTTAAAGATGCATGCTCATGCTGACAGAAAATAACATTCATTTGAATGAGGCCAGAAAAATTATTTTATAGACACCAGAAAACATTTATTTCACCAAGACCAGCAAAAATCTAAATATCCTCTGCGGAGTATATTAACTCAAAAATGCATTTTGGCGTGCAAGGAGGAGCCTTGGCCTGCCATCTATCTTGTGTGGTTGCATGCCATACATGTGCACATGTGAGTATGCACATGATCCATCATGTTGCATTACAGGCTGTACATCTGCCTTAGCTCGGGCCATTTTCGGCCTGATGTTGGCCCGACTCTTGACATCGCACTGCCCCGTCCGGCAGACCATGACCCTGAATCCGATGTGTGACCGAGTGGAGACGGCACAAGGTGTGCCTCTCACCGTCACTGGGGTGGCCCAGTGCAAGTTTATCAAGCAAGACGAGATTCTGAAGCTAGCGTTTGAACAGTTCCTGGGCAAGAGTGTGCGCGAGATCCAGAATACCATCCTGCAGACGCTGGAGGGACACCTTCGTGCCATTCTCGGTCAGCATTGGGTTATTAGTGCTTGTTACTGAGTGGTGTCACCCCACTCGCTCTCGCGCTCGCTCTCACTCTCGTTCTCGCTCTCCGTCTCCGTCTCCGTCTCCGTCTCCGTCTCCGTCTCCGTCTCCGTCTCCGTCTCCGTCTCCGTCTCCGTCTCCGTCTCCGTCTCCGTCTCCGTCTCCGTCTCCGTCTCTGTCTCTGTCTCTGTCTCTGTCTCCGTCTCCGTCTCCGTCTCCGTCTCCGTCTCCGTCTCCGTCTCCGTCTCCGTCTCCGTCTCTGTCTCCGTCTCCGTCTCCGTCTCTGTCTCTGTCTCTGTCTCTGTCTCTGTCTCTGTCTCCGTCTGTCACTGTCTCTGTTTATGTCTCGCTCCCCGTATTGCCCGTACCATATGGATCGTAGACTGGATCTCGAGGTGGCCGAGGCTGCGTGCTTGTGTTCCGGGGAGAGTTACGCCTCTAGTTTGTGGTTCTGTGTTGAGGTCGTTCTGTGGGTTGTAGCCTTTTTTGGTGTTTGTTATCTGCGCCACTTTGACGTGCATTGACGGGTGATCCAAAATTAAAACGCGCCTCCTCGGCCTCCATCACTTGTGCACCAAACGTATGCTGGCTAGTGTCGGCCAGTTTCTGGCTTTCTGTGTTCTCGCCTATACCGCTGTGTATCGCCACTACCGTGACGCTGCATCGTGTGACGCCCGGCTGCTTTGTTCAGGCACGCTGACGGTGGAGGAGGTGTTCAAAGACCGTGATCAGTTCGCGGCACTGGTGCGCGAGGTGGCCGCGCCCGACGTCGGCCGCATGGGCATCGAGATCCTCAGCTTCACCATCAAGGACGTGTTTGACAACGTCGACTACCTGACGTCGCTGGGCCGGCCGCAGACAGCCGCCGTGAAGCGGGACGCCACCATCGGCGTGGCCCTTGCCACGCGCGACTCCGGCATTCGGGTGAGCAGCGCTCTCGGGCGTCGGACCTGGCTTACCAACGCCGTGCAGCTCGGCTTGCCAGAGGCCGGGCCCTGGGCGACCCCGGTGATGAGTGATGCTCCTAGCGTAGGCGTTCGGCTTCTTATGAACGTTGTTGCCTTCGAAGACGTCTGCTGGATGCAGGGTTCATAAGTATGTGCCGCAGCAAATCCGGGCGAAGCCCCGGCTGTCCCTCCGTGACGCGCCGCCTTTGTGTTCCTGCGCGGATGGCACAACCCAGTGACAGTGGATGGTATGACGGCGGGGTAGTTCGTCAGGCTTTCTTTCAGACAACAGCGGAGTGACCACGTTAAGCGCGTCTTTCGCAATGTCGTCGCCCCGAGCTGGTGCAGGCGCCGGGAACACGTTGGCCCACGTACCCAGTGGTGCGCCCCTGCCGCCCCATCCGCAGTCGTGGACAGCGATTCGGTGATCGTGGGCACTGAGGGCCGCCCTCCGGAATAGAGGCATTTGTTTGTGTCATCCGAGCTTAAAGCGTTGAACTTGCCGCCTGTAGCGCAGTCACCTGGTGAGGGCTGAGTTATGCGGTCATGCACGCGGTTCCTTAAGGCCATTCACTGGTCAGCTGTCGGTGAGCACGAGGCCTGTGGTCCCACTTACTATGTGGCACGTGCCAGCGATCTCTTGTTTGATGTGTGCCAGTGACATCTCGTCTGACCGGCGCCAGTAGCCTCATCTGATCCGTGCCAGTGGCCTCTCGTCTGACCCGCGCCAGTGACCCCTCGTCTGACCCGCGCCAGTGACCTCCCTCCTGACCCTTGCCAGCGGCCTGTCACCTTGCCCGTGACCGTGCGAATCTCACGCTCCGCAGTGACCTTCTGATTGTGTGCATGCCCTGTGACCTGGTATCGGTTCCAGCAAGCCGAATGCGAGCGGGCAGCCATGGATGTCAAGTACGGCACGGACACCAAGGTGGAGGACAGCACTCGCGCCTTTAAGCTGCAGAAGGCGCAGTTTGACCGCGAGGTTAACGCGTCGGTAAGGGCCGCCACCGACGGACGCTTGAAGACTGTGCCTGTCCAGTCTGCCCAGCTGCCTCAGGAACTCGCTTGCTGACACCAACATGACTAGATTAGCTCCCGGTGAAGGGCGGTGGGCTGCCTGTGAAGGTGATCTGTCGGTGGAGGCGTAGGCTGACTATTAAGGTGATCTGTGGGCGGCGGGGCGGGCTGGCAATGAAGGTGACCTGTCGGCGAAGGGCGGGCTGGCTGTGAAGATGACCTGTCCTCGGTGGGTTGGGCTGGCTGTGAAGGTGACCCGTCGGCAGAGGGGTGGGTAGCCTGTGGATGTGACCTGTGCTGACACTTTCAGAAAGCTGAGTGTGAGCTGGCGTACGAGCTGCAGGCGGCCAAGGAGAAGCAGAAAATCCGACAAGAAGAGGTCACCATCGACGTCATCGAGCGTCGCAAACAAATCGAGGTGAGACGGTCGTGGCCTGGGGGCTCCTGCACCTCGCGTGGCTGGCCACGAGCGGAGCGGCGAGGTCACAGCCGCCGGTGCTGCGTCCGGCGCCGGCGGAGCCAGGGCGGCAGCGGGCCGAGGGCTCGAACGCCACCAGCAGACGGCTCTCACTGCTTGTCACGAGCGCCCGCTGACCGTGCGGCGGCGGTGCTCAGTGCGCCTCACCGTCGGGAGCTGATACGGATTGGATGCGAAGTTCAACTGAGAAGTTATCCGGGTTATCTGATGGTTATCTGGACTCAACAAGCATGCGCCGATAAAGTCTGCGTCAATCGCGAACCTCACAAGCGTCCGCGCGGTGTCTGGTGACTTATGCCCATGGATTCACGGCGATTTTATTCGCCATGAATATCGGGCTATGATGGGCACCCACGTCGTGCACGTTGGCCTTCGGCAAAGGGCCGTGCCACTTTTCCTGGTTCGGAACAACGAAGTGAATTTTTCTGGGTTTGCCTTGCTGGTTTGTTGAGAAACGCTATATATATATATATATATATATATATATATATATATATATATATATATATATTTATACATGTATGTTTGTGTGTGTATATATCTATGTATGTACACACACACATATATTTATAAATGGGCTGTGCCAGAAATGACGACCGAACTATTGGCTCCAGCTGACCGGTCTGTTGTCGCCAGGTGGAGACCCAAGAGATCCAGCGGAAGGAGAAGGAGCTGCAGGGCACCGTCAAGCTACCCGCCGAGGCGGAGAGCTACAAGGTGGAAGCTATCGCCGAAGGAAAACGGTACGGTGCATGGAGGTGTCGGGCCGAGCAGCTGGCCGGTTGTGCAGTTTGGATGTGGCGGGTTTGCGGTCTGTGGACGAGGCCAAAACACATGGTCATCGCCGTTCTGCTGGAGAGGACTATGTTTTCGGAGGCGTCCGTCCGGTGCTGAATGGGCCGCGCTCGTGCTGATGTTGCCAGGGGAACAGGTTGAGTGCGCTGACGCATGGCTTATGCGTCAGGCACGTTTGCACCGTGACCTAAAGCTCTCGCTTGGGGAGGCTCGAACGGGGCAGTGGTGCCTGGCAGAAAGAGAAACATTTGTCAGCCAGGAGAGTGTCATGCGCACAGTCGGCTGTCAGTGCTGCCACCTAGGGTGCCGGTAGCGTAGCGGAGTGGTTGACGCGCCTGCATTAACTACTGCCCGTTGGGGAAACCAGAGGTACAGGGTTCGATTCTCCGCGCTGCCCGCCCTTGCTGCCAGGGTGAGAGGCAGGCGACGCCATATAGCCTCAGCAGCTGAGTGCGTCGTAAAGCCCCAATGACAATGACAATGACAGTGCTGCCAGTTATCGGATCCGCCACGTACTGAGAACGTACGACTGCGTGTGACGGTCCCGCGCGGCAGTGCTGTATCGTGGCATCAGCTCTGCATTCGGTGGTTGGCTGCCAGGGTAGAAGGCAGAAGGGAGTGGAGGTGCTAGAATATGATGCCTTGGTTGAGGTATTAACAAGTTTTCGCGACGCCCAATGTTACCCAAATATGAACACGCACAGCTGTGAGTATGCTCGTGACGTGGCCGGAGTTGGTGGCCTGGCCTCTCATACCGGCGTCCGTGCCTGTGCCGACCAGGTTCCAGACAGTGGAGACAGCCAAGGCGGAGGCGGAGGCTCTCCGTCTGATCGGTCAGGCCGAGGCCACCAGCATTGAGGCCATCGGACGCGCCGATGCTGAGCGCATGCGCATGAAGGCGGCCGCCTACAAGCAGTACGGCGAGGCGGCGCTCACCGCCATGGTGCTGGAGGCTCTGCCCAAGGTGAGGCAGCGCTCACCGCCGTGGCGCTGGAGACTTGGCCTAAGGTGAGGCGGCGCTCACCGCCGGGGTGTTGGAGGCTCGGCCCAAGGTGAGGCGGCGCTCACCGCCATGGCGCTGAAGTCTCGGCCTAAGGTGAGGCGGCCCCTGCGGCGCGATTAGCCGCGAGGTTACAGAGATCAGGGGGACCGGTACGGAGGTCACGGGGCCGGCACAGCTTGAGCTCATAAGGGACTGGGCGCTGTGTAACTGGCACGGCTAGAGGTCACGGGGACAGGGATTGTGTGACCTGCACAGTGAGGTCACGACGTCCTGTCTATGTGTGGGTATGGTTGTGTAGGTGTGGGGATTATGTACGCGTGCGTGGGCGTGGGCTGGTGTGTCTGTACGTTTGTTCGCGCGGGCGCCGGACATGTTGAGGGGTGGTTGTCGGTGGGGTACAACAGGAGGTCAGAGGTACGGTGTGCGTGTGCTGCAGGTGATTCAGATGTCGCCGATGACCAGCTCTGTGTGGCAGGCAGACGTGGGTTCGATGCCCAATCGGAGTTCACTCATTTGCCTTAAATTTGGGTGAATCGGACCTTGATTCCAATCATTAAAAAAACGTTTGCATTAGAGTTAAGAGGGAATCGATAGCCTCGCTCTGATTCGGCTCTGGGCCGAATCGCAACAGAAGTGTGTGTCGATGTGGCTGTGCTGCTCGCCGCCCACCCACGGCTGTCAGCCGCCCGCCCATGGCTGGTTGTCGGCCGCCCACCCACGGCTGTCAGCCGCCCGCCCATGACTGGTTGTCAGCTGCCCACCCATGGCTGGCTGCCGGCCGCCCACCCACGGCTGTCAGCCGCCCGCCCATGGCTGGTTGTCGGCCGCCCACCCCTGGCTGATGGCCGGTATGACTGAGCGCGGCGCCGCGGCCGCTGTCGCAGGTGGCGGCCGAGATCGCCGCGCCGCTCGCCAAGGTGGACGAGATCGTGCTGCTGGGCGGCGAGGACCGGCTCACCTCGGAGATCAGCCGACTGGCCGGCCAGGTGCCGCCCGCCGTCGCCGCGCTCACCGGCGTCGACCTCTCCAAGGTGAGGCACTGCCCCAGTGGGCCGCCTCGCAGCGGCGGCTCCGTCGATGACGGGCTCCTGTGAGGATAGTAAGCGGAGAAAGTTGGGGTACTAGGGTTCCGAGCATACGTATCTCACCGTGTCCTGAAAATGTGTTAACATGTATTCGGGCGCTTGCTGTCCGCATTTGTCGCGTCTTGAAACCAGCATACTTAGCCCCTGTTCACCGATTTTGACATCATGCTGCCATTTGATCTGACGTGTCCTTTCACTCCGTATTTTCGTTTGCAGGTTCTGAGCCGCGTGCCTGGGGCCCAGGTGAAGGCATAGTGTGCCGCCTGATGGCGCGGCCGAACGCCAGGTATGCTGTGCCTTCTTGTGCCGCCGTCACACTGCCGCCCGCATAACAACACACTCGAAACGGCGCCGAAAGTCGGCCATCTGGCGTTCGAATCGCTTCAAGACTGCGCACGTTGAGTGGTGTCAGTCGTTTCTCTTCGGATCGTCACACTTTTATTCATATATATGGTCGGCGTTTGGACTGAGCCGCCTGTCTAACCAAGAAGTCTCGATGCAGGTATTAGCGGCCTGCTGCAAGTGCCCCATAGTTTGCTGCCTGCGGCTGGGCCATTAGAATAAGGAACAAGGAGGAGGTCATCACCGTCCCGGCGGCGTGTTAGCTGTACAGATGGGAGTGGTGGGCCGTCTGGAAAGGCGTCTGCGCCCTCTTCTTGCTTACTAAGTCAGGTTCGATTAGGCTGGGCAGTTTAGTATAAGTAGTGATGCGATCATCTAGATGCAACGGTGCCAGTGCTTGGCTTAGAACTACAACTCATTGGAGGTCGTTTGCATCAGTGTATGTGCGCGTCGCGCCTGCACGCGCGCGCGCGTGCATGCATCGGCGTTGACGCGTGCGGGCGGGCGGGAGGGCGTGCGGATGGAGCAGTCGTGCTTGGAAGAGCGAGAGGTGGCGCCGCAGCCGTGCCACTTTGTGCCAGACCAGACGGCGACACCGTCTGCTGCTGACGACAGGCGTGCCGTACAGCGGGCTCCGGCTTCGGCCGCGGCGGCGCGCTGTGCCGCTGCCCTCGCTCCGCCGGTACCGGTAGGAGCGGACTGACTGCGCGCGCCGTCGCTCCGGGTGCCGTACGCGTGCGTTTGACTCACTTTGTGCAGTGTCCGCGCACGTGTTGGTGGAGTGTTCCGGTCCCACCGTCTACCTTAACACCTGTATATAGACGAGCTGTTCGCCCCGGCCAGCTCTTCTGTTCGCTGTCTGTGTGCTTCCTCACTGCCTCCGCTGAGTCCCTCTGTGCCTCATCCCACAGGGGATGTCTGCTTTTTCTGCACTCTATCCTCTGCCTGTGTGTTTAGATGTGCGCCGTGGTCCATCTACCCGGTCTGGTCGGAGGCGGTGATGTGTCATATCTCAGAGGTAGTTGACGGAGCTGGGCCGCGTGCCCCTGCCAGAGGTGGCAGCTCCGCACCACACTGCACTGGTGCACGGAGAGCGGGCGGGGTGGGGACACTGTCTGGCCATGGGCGCTACAACCCAGCGCGGACGTGATGTCCTAGCTCATCGGGCTTGACTGCTCTCGCGGGCCCACCCTGCGGTCCTTGTTTTCTGTGGTTTACCACGGGGTCACATGCCTAGTTCAAACAATCTTCATTGGCAACAAGCTACGGACGCCGCCGAAAAGCGCGTCTGTCATGGCAATACGTCGTCGAGGGGGTCAGCGGCGGCGCCTGTGTGGCAGCGCCCTCCGCCAGGGTCAGCGGTCCGTGCCGGTGCGGCGACGCCGCTGTACAGAGTCGGGTGGGCGCGCGGTACCGATCCTTGCGACGGGCACCGGGACGCGCCGCTCAGGCGTCGCCTCCGAATGACCTCAAAGGCCGCGGTCGGGGCATGCGGTACCTGATTTGTGTTCGTCCAAAGTTACGTGTATTGCGCCAATTTGTCAGGGATCAGCTCTTTGGCTTGCCCTGTCTATTCCTTCTGCGTATCATCATTTGGATGAAAGGGTATTTTCAGGGATTTCACTGTATGCGGATAGTTTAAAGGCGCGCCTCTGCCCGGAGACCGATCTATTGACCATGGTGTTTGGGAGCTGGTTTTTGCTGCGTTCGCTTGATTCCGCTCTCAGGCGGTTGTCACGATTCTGCTCATTTTGACTCTTGTCGATATCGTGAAGTGCTTGCACTCCTCCTGTTATTTCGATCTGATCGATACTTTTATGGAGGCTTTTGATCGATAGACCGATAGAAATACACATGCTTGGAGTTCGGAGTTTCCGACCTCTGCACACCAGCCAGGCTGGTTTAGTGAAGCAATCACCAAGTCATCAGCGGTGATTTGGTTATCATAAGCCATTATGTCGCGTAAGTTTATGTTTGTACTCAGCGCACTGTCTGCGTGGTTTCGTAGGACGTAATCAATTATGTGTTGTACTCCCGCGTCGGTCAGTGTTTTGTGTGATCTTAACGAGCCCGGACCAGCGCGATTCCTAGTACAATAAACAGCGGTCGCGCAAAACTGGTGTATTCACGTGTTGGTGCGCCCCGCCTCGACGAGCCATGGAGGCAGGCGCGCGGCCCCGGCTGCCGTCCCGGCGTACTTGCTCATGCCGACACCAGAGCCGCCCAATTGTGCCGTACTGCTCCGCCGTCCAGGCCAGCTCGGCGGGCGCGCCTTCCGGCACCACCCGCCGGCAGGGACGGCGGCGGGTGCCTCTCGGCACTACCCACCGGCAGAGGCAGCAAGCGATCCCGGCACCACCCGCCGGCGGAGGTGGTCGCTTTTTTAACCATTTGGGTGGCCCACCTGGGGCCCCAACAGCAGCCTCTCAATATATTTTTTACCGGATTTAGCTGTCTTTAATTTGGTGAATGCCGAGTATTTAGAAGTTTTACAGTTCTTATGAAAGGTGTATTCGAGCAACATGGTCATGGTACGCCAATAATGCCCGAAAGAGATGGGTTTTGCGCGGCATTTGACCTTTTTCTCGATTTTCCTCAGCATTACAGCACAAAATATGGAAGTACCCCAACCAATATTGGAGCGCATTTAGTTTTGGAGAACTGAGACCCTCATAAAAAGAAATTGACACCTCTGCGCGCCGTTAAGACAGGTGCGTGCCGGCACACAGACAATCCACTCCACCTAACAATGGGCTACGCTGAGAAGCGGGCGTCACGCAACCGTCGTCGGCAGTCCAGCCGGTGGCGCTCAGTAGTCATCATACTCGTCCTCGTCGTCCTTGATGATGCCCAGCTTCTTGGCGACGCTCTTGACCGAGCTGATGACCTCCTCCTGCACCAGATTGAAGCTCATCATGAGCAGCGCAATGCCGAACAGCAGGTACAGCGAGCAGATGGCGATTGCCTCGCCCTCCTTGCCACCTTTCTGGTTCTGCTCGGGCACGAAGTCGCCGAACCCGATGGTGGTCAGGGTGATGAAGCAGAAGTAGGCCGAGTCGAGGAACGTCCACTCCTCGCGCTCCCAGAACAGGTACGCGCCGCCGACGATGTACGAGACGACCAGCAGCACGCACAACCAGATGGGTACCGACTTGGTGTCGGCGCTGTCCTCGTCGTCGGAGGCGTCGTACGCGTCCGAGTCGTCCTCCTCCTCAGGGAACGTCTCGTGCAGCTTGCTGAGCCGGTCGGAGCCGGGCCGGCCGGCTCCGCGCGTCGAGCGACTGCTGAGCGAGCGGCCGTACGCCGAGTCCGTGCGCGCCGCCGACAGCTTCACTGAGCCGCCGCTGCCCACGCTCGGTTCGTCCCGCAGCGCGTCCACCTCGCTCAGCGCGTACCGGTTCTGGAAGAAGGGCGTGCGCTGCAGCGCGGCCGGGTCCAGCTCGGTGCGCGGCGGCGGCAGCTCGTCGGACGACTTGGAGCGCTCGGAGGGCGCCGACCGCTTGCCAGTGTCGGCCATGCGGCTCGCGTGCAGGCCAGCCGTCCGACCGTACGCCTCCGGCACCGGCTCCACATCGTCGGGCATCCTGAAGCAGGCCCGTCAGTGCCGCGCACAGTGAACGGTGATATCGCCAGCGTGCGTCAGGCGATCGTCAATCTCCTCGTCGCCACTAGCAGGCGGCGGACGGTGGAGATTACTGCGAGTTGGCCGCGGGACACAGTGGTGCTGGTTGCGGTCACAATGTCAGTGCTCCTGTTCGCGAGCCAATGGACCGGAGTTGCTGAAAATGAGCTGTGAAGTGCGGGATTCAGCAGGGATAGGTTCTGATGTCATCACTCCTAAGCACCATCTGATGTGCGGCGTGGTTTTGGATGAAATGGGCAAACGTTAAAAAACCGACCCTCAAGTATTTTGATCCAAGTACTTCACAGAATCGTCTACGAACCCAGCACGGAGCTTGCTAACCGTTGACTAACCACAGAGCCTGGCTACGTGTTAAAGCAGCGCTGCCGTCAGGGTCTGCGCGTGCTGCGCTCACCTGTAATCTGGCTCCGAAGCGGGGTCGCCATAGGAGGCAGAGAAGGCGCTCTCGCTCACCGCTCCATCTGCGCTCTTGGCTGATCTGCGGATTGACCGAGACGACGAGAAGCTGAAACGCCAGGGGCAAAGGTCAGCCAGGTCAGCCGGTGTCAATCCCGGCGTCTGCTGCGACTGGCTCGCCGCAACGGCGCCTGACCTCACCCCTGCAGCCGGCTGTCGGCTACCCCCGCCACCGGCCTGACCGGGCTCCAGGCAACGGCGGCGCGCGCTAGGAGAGGGAGGGGTGCCGAAGCCGGGCAACTTACCCCCTTCAGCCTTGAGTGGGGAGAAGTGTGCTCTCGAAACGCCGAAGAGGTCCGAGGAGCGAACCGCCCAACGGGTCAAGGGTCGCCAGGGGTCACCAGGGGTTGTTGGCGCCAGCAGTCACTGCTTTGTTTGATCTTCCGCGGTACAACAAGAATGAGACCGACGGCGCCTGTAAGCACCGAGTGGCCCGCACTTAAAAAACATCCCATTGAGCTTTTGATGCTAGAAAAATAATGCTGGTGTACCGACCGCTAGATCTGCTCCCCTAGAAACCAAAGATGTGTCTGTGTCGCAGGGGAGTCGTGCCGCTCAAGGGATTATGTATGTGTCCGTGTTGCAGGGATCCGTGCCTCTAAGGATCGGAGATGTATCTGTGTCGCAGTGGTCCGTGCCTCCTTAGGGATCAGAGATGCGTCTGCGTCGCAGGTAACCCGTGCCCTCTAGATATCAGAGATGTGCCTGTGCTTGTGTATCTGCTCTGTGTCGCAGTAACGAAATTTTGCTACGCTGTTTCGAAGCAATGTCAGGGTAGCCCAGCAGCACTACTCCCAGTTTCGACGACGTGTCTTAGTGTTGTGCAATGACGTCATGGCATATCCGGGGTACTTTAAACCTCTTATTGACATTTAATTCGTAGTAGCAGCTGGGCTTTCGGGTGCTTCGACTGCGCGATCATAAAGCGCCCATAGCTTAGTTGAAATTAAATGTCTTGCCAAGCAAGATGATGAGGTCAGCCGCTCTGCTTCTGAAGTTCAAGACTCTAAATAACATAATTTATTGGGGCGACACACATTGCGATTTTTGTTGAGTTTGACGTTAATACTCCGGATATACCTTGCCAAAACGAAATTCAAAGCCAAGCGAAAGGCAGTACAGTAAACTGTCGCAAAGCTCACGTAACTCACGGCAATCCGTATCGGGAACCTGTCGTACGGAAACCAATCTTGGTAGGAAATATCTATGCAAAATACTGAAGCACCACCTTTTCAGTTGGATCGAATTTGCAGTGAAAATGGCAGATCTAAGCTTCGGACCAGTCCTGTGCGCTGTGGCCTTCATTCGTGAACATCTTAAATCCTTCATCATTAAACTGTGCTCTCTCTCTCTCTCTCTCTCTCTCTCTCTCTCTCTCTCTCTCTCTCTCTCTCTCTCTCTCTCTCTCTCTCTCTCTCTCTCTCTCTCTCCTCTCTCTCTCCTTCTCTCTCTCTTCTCTCTCTCTCTCTCTCTCTCTCTCTCTCTCTCTCTCTCTCTCTCTCTCTCTCTCGCTCTCTCTTCTCTCTCTCCTCTATCTCTCTCTCTCTCTCTCTCTCTCTCTCTCTCTCTCTCTCTTCTCTCTCTCTCTCTCTCTCTCTCTCTTCTCTCTCTCTTCTCTCTCTCTCCTCTCTCTCTCTCCTCTCTCTCTCCTCTCTCTCTCTCTCTCTCTCTCTCTCTCTCTCTCTCTCTCTCTCTCTCTCTCTCTCTCTCTCTCTCTCTCTCTCTCTCTCTCCTCTCTCTCTCTCTCTCTCTCTCTCTCTCTCTCTCTCTCTCTCTCTCTCTCTCTCTCTCTCTCTCTCTCTCTCTCTCTCTCTCTCTCTCTCTCTCTCTCTCTCTCTCTCTCTCTCTCTCTCTCTCTCTCTCTCTCTCTCTCTCTCTCGCTCTTTCCTTCTCTATTTATCTCCCTTGCTCTCGCTTCGTTGCGTTGATGGCGGAATTCACTCTGTTTAAAGGCCGTGACGGTAAATAGCCTTACAGCCTAAGTTTCTTACTGCAAATGCCTTGCTATTTATTTCTACTTTAGCCTTCTCTACTCTGGCCGTCGGTCGTATTCCTCCCCCAGAACTGTGTCGTACGATATGTATCTAGGTTGTAGGAATAGTTGCTATCTATCCATCATGCCTAACGATGTCGATGTTAACGCCCCGATTATTTTGTCTAAATCCGTGGGCTGTTGGAAAAATCCCAATGCTGCGTAACGCGTCATCAAATTCTGAAATCAATGTCGGTGGATATCTTGTCCAAAGATGGCCTTACAGATCCATATCGTTGAACCACAGAAGCTAATGCCTGACCTTATGCCAGTTTTTTAGCGATTTGGTCGGAAAGATCGCAGCAGGACTTTTAGAGAGCCGTCAGCCGCGCCCTCGAGTGCACCTGCCATCCGGACTGGGGCGTAAGCTAACTTCCGCGCGTAAAGCTGCCCTCCGGACTGGCGCGTAAGCTAACTTCCGCGCGTGAGGCTGCCATCCGGACTGGCGCGTAAGCTGATCTTCCGCGCGTAAAGCTGCCATCCGGACTGGGGCGTATGCTGAGCTTCCGCGCGTGAAGCTGCCCTCCGGACTGGCGCGTAAGCTGACTTCCGCGTGTGGGGTTGCCATCCGGACTGGCGCGTAAGCTGATCTTCCGCGCCTGGAGCTGCCATCCGGACTGGGGCGTATGCTGAGCTTCCGCGCGTGAGGCTGCCATCCGGACTGGAGCGTATGCCGAACTTTCGCGAATAAAGCTGCCATCCGGACTGGAGCGTACGCTAAGCTTCCGCGCGTGAAGCTGCCCTCCGGACTGGGGCGTATGCTGAGCTTCCGCGAGTGAAGCTGCCCTCCGGACTGGGGCGTATGCTGAGCTTCCGCGGGTGCAGCTGAAATCCTGGCTGGAACGCGTACTGACTCACAACAACCGAGCAAGCCTTCGCAGTTTTGAACTCCCCATTACCAGCTGCCACACTAATATTTTCATTCTGTTGCACGGGCAGCTAAGCTATTCCATCGCGCGGGATGGTTGGCGCTGCGCTTGCGCCACCGCAAAGTGAGAAGGCGCAGCGCCAACAGCTGGTGGCAGCTGGTGCTCAGCTCCATGAAGAACCAGGACCAGCCCCGCCGTCTCTGTGTTATCATGGCACACGGGAGGCCTTTTCACTAGCAGGCTGCTGCGTCAGCAGTGGGCAGCAGCCAGCAGTGATCAGCCAGCAGTGAGCAGCAGCCAGCAGTGATCAGCCGGCAGTGAACAGCAGCCAGCTGACACAGCAAGCTGCTGTGCCAGCAGCGAGCAGCAGCCAGCAGTGATCAGCAAAACCTAAGGCACCAGTTGGCTGGTGAACAGTTCTCTTGGGCGCTGCCTTTATACGGGTTTGGCGGAGTCGGTCCTGGTTTTTCTTGGGGCGAAACACCAGCTGCCGCCTTCACGCGGTGGCGACAGTCCGGTGCCAGCCATCGGGCGCAGGGGATGGCAAGCGTCTCTACGAGACAAAAATGTTCGCGTGGCGGCATTAGCTGAGCTCTGTGGATGACATCAGTTCAAAACTGCTAATTTTTACCCGAACTCTCGTGCTCATATGCGCTTCACACTCAATACGAGCCACACTGTCGACTAACATCTCCAAAGCGACCAGTGCCTGATCCGAGTGCTGCACCAGTGGATGCACTAACTAGACGAGAGAGTGGTTCTTGCGTGCCTGGAAGCCTTCTCGTGCCACCCGTAGTGCCTCTGCGAGAAACGGCGCCCTGTCACCCCTTGGCAGTGCCGCCGAGTACCAAAACGCTGACCATATCAAACGAAAGCATGGCCACTCCACAGCAAGACCAGGATCCCACCAGCAGGCCAAAGCTGACAAACATCGGCCACGTCGGTGCAACTTCTTCACTGCAAGATAGGAGTAGGAAAGAATCGCGTCACTTGGTCAGTACCTTCCAGAAACGTACAGGTTGTGTGGTAGATCCATCAAACAAGCGGATGGAAAGTATCGACTAAAGAGCCGCTGCCCCATATGTGACCCACCTGAAGGTGATAAACGATGATTTGGGCAAAGCTGTTACGCTGATAAAAGTCTACCACGGAGGTGTTATTGATGGCAAGAAAAAACAAAAATAACTGCTGTAAACGGTGGAAAAGGCACAAACACCATACGCTTGTTCGAACCAAGAGAGACTGGCCTGGATTCAAATATACTTGGGTGGGTGAAGGGTCCAACATCTTATCATATTTGTTGATTAGATTAATACACAACGTGAAATGTTACAATATCACCAGCAGGGAGTGGTTTGCGCTGGTACCAAAGGAAGCATTGTCCCGTAGCTGGCACACTGGAGGCAACTGAACCTTTCCAGTCAGTGGTATCGTACGCGCATGCGTGCATGTGCATGCATAAAATGTGGCCTTACAGAGAATCCATTTATCTTAAATGTGTCCTTCATGTAGCCAAAATACCCCATGATCTAGCCCTCGCTCCGTGGCATCACCGAACCGACGCGGCTGGAGCAGTCACCAGTGCGAGTGATCACGGATCACCGAACCGACGCGGCTGGAGCAGTCACCAGTGCGAGTGATCACGGATCACCGAACCGACGCGGCTGGAGCAGTCACCAGTGCGAGTGATCACGGATCACCGGACCGGCGTGTCTCGTCCGTCCCGACATGAAATTCTGCCCGAATGCCCGGCGAAAGAAAAACGACAGCTTGAGCTTTGCCAGCCCAACATACGACACCCGTGTTGGACAGGCGGCTACGGATGCGATGACGGCTGATTATTGATAAGCGTGGCGTCCTGTCAGTCAGGCGCATCAGGTTTTGACAGTTTTTCGGAGCGCTGATCAACATGGCTGATCTAAGTTCCGGATGCTGACTGACTTACGACCGCGGTGTAATGAAGCACCTGTGCAAACAAGGGTGTCATTATGCTCGAGTGCATGAGAGTCTAGCGGGTGACCACAAAAGGGAATCACCACTCAGACGTTCGCCAATACCTCTGTGGTCTCCAAACTTAAAAACCCTCGATGGGAGTCGAGCAAGAGGAGGGATTTGGGGGCGTCTGAGGACCGGGATGGCGGCGCACTGGGGGGGGGGGGGGGTCGGATTCGGGATACAGTCCCGGAGAAGAGTGTGAGATGGATGGACGAGTGCCCCTGACCCCGCCGTCATCGTCATGTAAGTGCCGCAGAATCTGGGAACCAGCTCCTGTGACCCAGATGAACTCCCTATCATCTGTCGTCATCTGCGTCCTTGCCAAACCATTTTTGGGGGGGCCTTAGTTACCCCCATGATTGTACCAGGTATTAATGAATGGGGCTCAGAAGACCCTTTGCTGCATCATAAGATCAGTTTTCTAGATCATGAGGTCACCTTTAAGAACAAGGCAACCAATGCTCTAGCTCAGGAGGCCCAATGTTGTATTTAAAAGGCACGTTTGTTGAATCGGGAGGCCCCTATTTCGGGTTCCATGGTCAGTCCACATTTGGGGAGCACATTTCCTGCATCGGATGGGCGCGGTTACAGAGCAAGATGTCCCGTTTTGGGATAGCGATACACATTAAATAGAACTAAAGGCCCCAATGGCGAGTTTCAAGCATCCTGCTCTGGATTAGTATGACCATCCACGCATCGTGAGGCCCTTTTGAAACTGGAGGAATTGTTTTAGGTTGACGAGATTTTTTCCGGATGATTAGAAGGTTCTCCATTCTGGATTCCTTCACTGTCGTCATAGGTTTGATTGGATAAGATACACCACACAGTCGGATAAGCAGTGACATGCCCTCTGTGTCCCTCCTCCCTGAATACAACCCTGCGCGTGAGTTCCCCGCTGTGAGGGCGGGGGGGGGGGGCATTTTGTCCAGGTGACCCTCTGAAAAAGTCCTGCCACCCGACTCAAAAGCCATAGCGCCACCTCTGTCTGAGATCCGACTCCCTAGCACTCCATGTACCCAGCCTGTGCTTTTCAACTTCTGCAGTCTCTGCTTAGTCCGCGGCTCCAGTCCCTGCTAGTCAAAGTCTTCAGTCCTTGCCATTCCAACGCCCCAGTTCTTGTCAGTTCAGGTCTCGTCTAGTCCAGGTCCCCAGTTCCCGTTAGTTTTCAGTCCCTAGTCCCCAGACCTTGTTCCTCAAAAGCTCAGAGCCTGACTATCCTCATCCCCAGTCCCTAGCAGTCTTCTCCTCCAGCCCCTAGCATTCCACGACCCCAGCCTTCACTTCCCAGTGTCTCCTCCATTCCGCGACCCCAGCCTCCACGTCCCAGAGTCCCTATCATTCCACGACCCCAGCATCCACGTTCCCACATCCAGTGCTCCTACCAATCCGTGTCACAGTTCCAGAATCCATTCCCATGGAGCCCATGGACGCAACCCATCCCATGCGCCACCAGCCCTTGCAGCAAGGGCTAAGAGCCTCACCCTCGTCTTCCTTTTCGACGTCTTCGCTTCTTCGGCTTCTTGGTGCATATATAGCAACAGCACTTCCAGTAGACGACCTTGAATGAGTGCGCCATGCCTTCGCTGATGTTGGAGAGGCACAGGCACATGAGGGGTATGCCGAGGATGGCGTACAGCATGGTCACCACCTTGCCCCAGTCCGTCTTCGGCGCGATGTGGCCGTAACCTGCGAGCGGATAGCAGATGCGGTGGTTACCTGGAAGCGGATGGAAGCCGACATATTGATGCGGTGGTAGCCTAGAAGCGGATGGGAGCCGACATATTGATGTGAGTAAAACTCGGCTCCTGAAAACAGGAGGAGCCTGCGGCTCATGAAGGACGGTTGCCTAGGACGGTTGCCTCTGCTGTCCATGTGCTTTTCATTTTATGCACGCTTTGCTGTGTAGCCAGTTCCGTAGAGTGGAACTAACGACTCACACCATTTGAAACCGTTATCTTGTAAACACACGCTCCAAAAATGATCCACTCTAACAAATTTGCTTTGTTTCAACAAGGTAACAAGGATCTTTGTTTTTCTTTCGACAACTGTGGGTCTGTGTATTATCTATATGTGTGCTATCGATCGGCTGAGAACGGTTACATGGAAGTCCCGCACGCACCGTGAGGTTAGCACACGAAAATGCCGCCGCGCGGCACGGCTCACCGTAGGGTCTACAGAGCGCAGTAGCCAGGGATTACTAGCTACAGACAGCTGGTCATTAACGTGTGGCTCGTTGCGTTGCTGCGGCGCCGGTGTCCTGGCATGGACGCACGGGGACGTCGTTCCCTTTTACCGAGCCCTTATCATTGGAAATAGACTTCTTGACAGGCATACTGCAGAAGCCATTTTCATTACATGTCTTTAAACGGTGTTGGTTTTATCAAAATACCTATTAGATGGTACTCAAATGACGATGGAAAAGGCGAAATGGCATGGGACGTGGCGTGCACCGGGTCACTCCAGTGATCACGCCTGAGGTGTGCCTGCCCTCCACGGCGCAAATAATTTGCGAACTGCTCTGAACCTAGACATCAGCCAATCGAATGTGAACGTGCGTGTAGCATTCCCAGGATTTTCCCTGGGGGAATGAAGATGACAACTCGGATCCAGGAGGCACTGACAGACGATGTGCCATGGTCAAAGGTATCTGACGGTTGAATGATCACTAAGGTGATATCGCAGTGGCTCACCCCGAACAATTTTGCGACTCAAGTACCGCACCCCAGGGTTATGAAAAGCTGACATGTACAACGCAGCTTCGTCTCGTCATATAGCGCTTCTGGATCCTATGTATCTATTTTTTTATTTTGTATGAACTCCGAATCAAATACTGCTCCGTGCCAAATGACGAGAGTTAAATTGGCTACGAAGGACATTGCATGTACACCAGAGTGCTTCCCTTGGATGTCAAAAATGTGTCACGATATGTCAAAATATCAATATATGGGTTCTTCGACCGCAAACGTTTGTCGTAATAGTCAGAGTTATTATTATTCCGGTTAACTCAGTTGGTGGAGCGCTAGACTCGCAATCGGAAGACCCTGGTTCGAATCCTGTCATTCCAGGGGGAGAATTGGGTTAGCCAAGCGTACATGACGGAAGCCAGAGACCATTCAGTCGTTTTAAGAACTCCATTACACTTGATGGCGATCGGAGAGATAACCGGCCGAAACTTTGTCTGCATACTAGCACATAGCAGAAACATAAAGACTGACAACTCTGCAAACGGCTTCCTACATAATTCTTATCGTGCAATATTGTATGTCTTGCCCCCTTCGTCTTGATATCCAATGAAATACCTGGATATATGATGGTATATGGTAGTGTTTCTGTAAGTACATATGTATATATATATATATATATATATATGCATGTTTCTGTGTGTGTATGCCGATATACAGGTAGATAGATGGATATACTTATCTCAATGAGTAAATAAAGAGGCAGTGGATCTAATTCATAGATCGTAGCACACAGGCGACACTGTAAGAACACTTTCCCGGACTCAAGGACGTATTTCAGGGAGGTGGGGAGCCAACGGTGTACATACCCTATCATATTTCTACATGGATTATTACCCATGTGAATAAGTGTTATGGCAAACAGTGAGATGACGTCTAGAAAGTAAGTAGATTGAAATCAAGCAATGCTTTTCTAAGCCATTTTAAAGCGTTAAACAAAATGCATCTCAGCGAAAAATCTGAGTCGTGACCGCCAATTAAAGAATCTGGCACTTGCTCCTGACCAGTTTGACGTGAACCATACCGTGTTGCTTTATCAACGAGCCTTTTTGAATAAGCTACCTTTCATTAACTACACTTTCTTGCAATCTTCCGTGAAGAGTGATACGCCCTCCTCCATGCTCCTTTGTGTAGATAGATACGCTTTAATCGTTCCTGTTGTAAATGCGTTCTTAGCGCAGAACATACAATTGTTCTCGATGGACATGCATATCTGTTCTGAACCGTCTACATCACTAGCGAGGTGAACTAGACCCCCTTATATTCCAGTGTGTTGCAGGGACCGTTTCCCGCCTTTCAGGTACCTAACCTTGGAGCAATGTTGCATCTACCACGCATCTCACGCCCAGTTACGGTTTCATGTCGCCGTTTTTGAATACCATTAGCAGTACAGCACCGAGCATCCTGGCTGTGCCGGCCTCGAGCCATTGACACGTGTCCACTGGGGTGGGCGGGGTGGGTCATTTTGGTTTCCGGCGTGGTATCACGCCCATACTGAAGTCCATACCATGCTGACACCCTGGGCCTTAGCTCAGCCCTTGCCCGCCACAGGACCTTTACCCCCCGGACTTTACCCGTCACATGACCTGTCATTGTTCAACTGACCGTACTTGTCCGATACCGGTGTAGGAAGCTGCTGCCGCTGGTGGCCAGTGCTGGGAGCAGGGCGGAAAGGCAGTCACGCGCGGCGGCACCGCCGGGCCGGGTCACTGGTGTTAGCAACCGGCGCGTCAGAGCAAAGGAGGCAGTGGACGCATGGGCGCCGATGCAGCGGGACAGTGAACTGAAGTTGACCAGCACCAGAAAAATTGAACTCCGCAGCTCCGAAATGAAGACGGTGTTTCACCGATGCCCAGAAACAGGGGCAATGGTCAGGGGAGAGTGACCGAGTGCGCCTGCGATATCTGAAGCGATCGACGGCTGCCCGCGGAGCGCGATGGCTATTGCAAAAGTGTTCTTACTGCTTCTGGCTTTCATGCTGGTGTACGGCTTCACGAACGCTCTGTGGACGAATCGGAATCGCGACAGGAGACGTAAGTGAACAACCACCCACGGCCCTAACGTTTGTATGTGAATGACTTTGTCACGATGCACCGCGTATTTTGCCGTGATTCGTGTAAGAGAAAGTTGGGTAGCATGCCAGCCGGCAAGCTAGGTTCGTCAACATCTGGTGTTACTTGCCAGCATCGTTTGTGATAAAAAACCTCTTGACAGCGGAAGAGGCTCCTGGTTACAATAAATGGCAGGGACCGCAATTTGCCCATTAATATGAGATATCTAAAACACAATTCAGCATCCAGTTTTCACCCAACGCAAGCTACCCACGAGCTGCTTTTGCGCGCCTGAATCAAGCGCGCGAAAATACCTGAAGAGCTGCTGTTTTACGGGAACAATTTGCGTTTCTGCTACCGGCAGGGGCATTTTAAGTTGTACGTCCTATGTGTCGGGCTGATCTGACCGATGACCACCAGACTTCGCGGTCGCACCCGGCCGGAGGTTGTCGAGATGCAGCAGGGACCGGGACCAATGAGCGTCAAAGAAGGAATGGGGTTACCGTTTCGGTATTTTTGTGTTCGGATACCGGCATTCTTGTTCAATTCCAACAATTTCAGCCAACAATTCCTGCTTCACAATGCGGGTACAAAGCTGCGTCTGTCACAAACCTCACCTGTCGTCTCTGGCGACGGTTTAAAGCTGCATTCGGGCTAAAAAGAACCTTTCATCACGTACCATTAGTCGCTGAAAATATGTACATCACACGACTAGCTTTAGTAGAACCTAGAAATAGCTTCTATCCCATCCTACATGATTGTGATTGTTTCGCTCTTTGCCCTGTAAGTGCCGCTGCACATAAGTATAAATTATCGCTTTCCCACGCTTTGTACACACACCTGCTTGCTGTCAAACCCCGATGAGGCTCTCAATGAGCAATATTGCTAGACATCTGGGCCAATGCTGTCCACCACCATTTGCCATGCCTTGACCCGTCTCTGACACTTTTTACGTGGCCAGTGCGCAGACATATGCCCATTATAATGTTTTGAGGGACAAAAGCTACAATGGAGTCGCTGCACCGCTTGCTGAGAAGCAACATGCTAGGTGCACAGCTGTTGCATAGCAATGAATAAGATGAGACGAAAAACATTGCACTTCTCTAACATCGAACAGTTGCATTTCATAATGGCATGTGTGTTTTTCATGCTTATGTTATAGTGGTTTTCCCTGGACAGATGGTTCAAAACCTTCGCAGCATTTGTTGCAAAAGGTTTAAGACCAAGTACTGTATGCAAACATAACATAACCCACGCATTACAAAATTGTAGCAAATGGTGACTATGAGTTTCATAATGGTTAGCAGGGAGCAAAATAATATTTCTTTCGTAGGAGCGCGCGACTTTAGTTCAAAATTCTGATTTCTTCACAAGGATTTTAAAAAAAACAATCATTTTTTATCACATCGGACGCGTGTGATGTAATAATAAGTGAAAGTACGAAAAGATGGCTACTCCCTGCGAGCGTCCCCTGCTGGTAGCCTTGTCCGAACGCCGCGCACCTAACCTGTGTAAGGACCCCTCCGCGGGCTGTGCACATATACCATGGAGGCCGTGAAAGAAGAATGGATGCCGTGGAAGGACAGGATCGAAATTATTGTTGTGCCAGAGCAGGTCCAATCGGTTACCTGACAGACACTGACATCTTGATGGTACCACCTGTAACTGTTTATTTGTGATTGGAGAAGTTCATATTGCTGTTCCCCCCGTGATGGTTGCGGGCCTAGAGAGTCAAGTAAAACAGGGAGCAACAGCATTACATTGAACTACATGGCCATCACACGTTTGTTTTCTCCAAACGAACGAAACATACCGCTTTGATAATATACGTTCTTTTATAAAACCAGTATATTTCTGGGACGAGGCGAATGAATCCAAACTTAAAGAACTGTATCGGAATCTTGCAAGCTTACATAAACGCCCAACGGTCAGCAATACTCGCAAATACATTCGACCAAGTTGAGCAGAAGTGGGCAGTGATTGAAGACCGGAAGTAGGCTGTGCGTCCAGAATCGGATAGCTCGGCCGTTGTCAACAGCTGTATGGGCAAACGAAAACTTGTCTTTGTTTTAGAGAGATAGTATTTGTTAGTTTCTGTGTGCTTATCAATCAACACATTTGCTTACGAGCATGGGGGAGGGGCGGAGGGGGGGGGGGGCGTGGATTAAAAAAACTGTAGGAAACGAAAAAGGTCAATTCAGTGGTTAAAAAAACGTTGGGAGTCTGCCTTATTCGCAACTGCGCTTAATGCGTTATTTTTGTGTTTTATCAGAATTAGGTCCATAATTGCTGAGACATTTTGAAAATTAAGCCACGATAAGTGTCTAAAGACAATGTAAAAACTTGAAGTCTCATTTGAAATGAACAGTTGACACAGCATTGTTTCAGCTGTTGGTAGAATATCTCATTTTCCAAAAGTTCCAAAAATTATAATTCCAAAAATGCTATGGTCATTGAAATGCTCACACAGAATTAGATATGCGGTAAAAAGCAAAAGCTGATGATCAAGTTACTGGCACAATTGTTCACGCCTAAACGCCAAGTGACATCATACCGATGTGATCCCGTGGGCGAAATACCTTCATGTAGGTGTTCTGAAAGCTTACATTCAATTGAGTTGAACTGACTGGCTTAATTTTGCCTTATTCAACGGTACGTTGGAATCAAATTGCAATCTTCAGGTGGGTAGCGAGATGATGTAAAAGAAAGCGAAGGAAATGAATGTGGGCATGAAAGTGGATGGCTCTAGCCATTGAACGTTGGCTTGTTTTTTGGTTGACCCGTTACCTGACATTTAACATCCTGGCTCCACTAGGTCTGAGCTTATGTTGAGCTGTTTAAATTCACGTTACATTAGCACGACTCGAAATTGTTGGATTCTGGTACTATCTGGATTCAGTCTGGCCAGAATAAGATCGGGCTAACTGTGTATATTTTCTTTGTGCTACTACAGTACAAATGTTCAAAGCAAGAAGTGCGCTTCTGACGAGCGTTGTAATGCTGCTACACGATGTTGCATGCTACGTTTGCATGTCATATAAATGTTTAAGAAAAGGAGAAAGAGAGCAGTATACCAGAATGCACACGCATTACCACGCTCTTCAGCGTGTATGCATTGATGGGTCTTAACACATACATGGTCTCACGAGTGAGTGTTCGAGCCCGCTCACATTTCTGTTTTGTACTCTTCCAGGTGGAGCGAAGCAGGATGACCTGCATGGCGATCAGTGGGTGTACAAACACACTATGAGTAAGTATGGCCCGAGAAGAATTGTTTCATGTGGTGTCCGTGCTCCAGGAAGCTTCAGTAAGACTCTTCGGCAATATTTTAGAATGAATTTCGTACCCAGATGATCCCCCGACACAATTGTAAACTAATTCTTGACAGATCCAAGATCTGGAACTCAGAGGTCCGATCCTGAGATCTACGCCTGAGGTCTGCAGCACAGATGTAAATTCGGTCCACCGCATTCGACCGGCTGAAGCCAGCAAGCTTCTTGCCAGGTTGTTAATCAAATACGCTTGGCCTTAGTGGGACAGAAAATTCGCAGGTTTTAGTTACATGCAAAAGTATTCCCTGATGTCCGAGGAACCAATAGCTAGAATCTCAGGAAGCATCTAAAAAAATCGTCGAAACCTTGGAACGGCTTCACAGCCGTGTAGCACCCAAAGCCCAGCATAGTGTGGCTGGCCTTGATTTGCAGCTGGTCACGCCAGCCTAAAAATCACGGAATAGCTGCTTAAAACCGGAAAAGAAATAGCAGCCTCATATTTACGAAAGCCAAAAATAAAAACAGCAACATCACTTCGCACACATTTTTAGTGATATCATGACTCAGAGACCATGACTTGTTATCATGGAAACTTTTAGCGTCCAGAACGTGTCACAATGATCACCTGCCTTTTTCAGAAATTTTGGTGGAACCACCTGGTGCGGTTCGACAGCTTATCTCGAAACGGGGGCATGTGCTATAAAGCGCCCAACCTGATCAGTATGATCTTCAAAACGTCACCGTTTGGTTACATCATGACAGTTTTATGACGTCAGAGTCACTGCCAGACTGGCCGTGCCAGAATCGCCACTTTGAGGGATTGACTGACTCAATGACAACTTGCCAAGAGGTGGCTTGTTAACTGATGCGTGTTTCCTGAACCCGGATATTGCTATGTGCGCTTGTTTTGGCCTTTCTTGTGATGTCTTTGTATATGTGTTCGTGTTTTTGTATTTTTTCCTGCATTTGCATGCAAGGCTATGGCGCTATTCTTCAGTTATCTGATTTCCGGTCTCATTTGTCTCATAGAATCAAAGCCGAAAGTCCTGTATTATGTAGCACGTGATTCGTTTTGGAAACTTGCACTTAACGCATCAAACTGCGTGGAGACAAATTGCCTTCTGTTGGTGCCACAAATCGTGTTGACGTGCCTTAGACACAAAAAATTCGATGATCATATTTCAATTGACCTTAAACACTACATTGCCACTGAGGGTGGCCGTGTTTGCGTGACGTTTTTGTGACGTCATGCATGTATGGCTAACCTTCAACTAGGCTGTGCGAAAAGCCTGCAGAAGTTCGTATGCGTGAAACCCGGAGACAAGAGGGGTTGAAGTCCTAAGAAGGGCAGTGCCCATGATTGTATTGAATGGTCTCTAAAATGACTATATCAGCTCAAAACCCCATAAAACGTGAGACACTCCTTTAAGTGTCATGATGTAGAAAATAATGGTGCCAAAGACGTATATGACGATGTAGGAGATGATGGCACAGACCAGCTTTCACAACGCTTTTCAAAGCATTTCGAAAGCTCGCACACGTCGTTCGTCTCAAACTATATGAGAACGCGCTTCAACTGAGCTCAGGTGATTCGTTATTTGTCAGATGCGGGAGCCAAGTGGGTAACGGGGACGGTCATGTGTCAAGCAGACACCGCTTATACAAGACTGAAGAGGGTTTGTCCGTCTCATCGATTGCTCGTCCCATCACGCAGATCTAGCCACCGCGACTCTTAAAAATGATGAGTTTAGCACAATCCAGGTTTTGCCTTTTTATTCGCGATTTGCTCTGCCAACCAGTTGCGTGAATTGTCTGTTATCTAATGAAATTTCCCTGCACAGCCAGAATACATCTGAGCTAATCAGGTCATCAGGCTCATCTTTCGAGAGGAGCTTGTCTTGTTACGCTGATCGTCAGCGCGATAAGGTTAGCACGTGAGCGAAGTCACCGGGGACAGGCACGGTATGGGTGTTTACGGATGATATTTACCTTATCCAGTGCACCCACTGCACATGCGGCTGTTCCGATGCCCACCCTGTGCTCATTCTTAAATGGGGTGTTCCCTTCGTGCAGACATTGAAGAAAAAATCAGATAGGCTGAAATAAGCTCTCTTATAAATATTGGTATACTTTTAATTGGGACACCTGCTATAGACAACACGATTTCTCCTTTTAGTAAACATGCTCCTTAATATACCATTGTTTGATCGCGACATGGACCTTTTGTTTGACGTGGATGAGCTCTTTTAATGGCTGTGATCGCTTTTGCACACAGCGAAATCGCTTTGCTGCGGAATCGCCGCCTGCTGGTGTTGGCTGAATGCATGCGCAGTGCTAGGTCTCTAAACCCTTTAGGTACTCGTCAACTAAAATCGATTTTGGACAATTCTTGTAAAAACTGCTGAATTTGCTCACGGGCGAATGCCTGCCACAAACGAGAAGAAGACTACGGACGAGACAAGGAACCCTGCAAGAACGCTAAGGAACCCTCGCATTGGACAGAGGAAGTGGGATGTGGTTATGCAGTCTTTACCTACAACGAAGTGAGGCACCACTTGACGAGGAACACGAAGGCGGGCACATAGGCGTGCGCAGGCATTTCGCAACAGGGCGGGGTGGGCCGAACTGAATTTGTTTCAAATATCTTGCCAAGTTTCTTGAGTGTCAAAAAATATCGCATGTTGGCAACATTGATCCACATCCATATCGATGCATGTAAAATTTGATGGGGGTGGGGGGGCAGGCACCTCTGATCTATACTTCTTCGAGTAAGCATGGATGCATCAAAATATGTGGTTTTGCGAAGTGACAACTGTTGGCGAGTCAAGGACGACCTTTTGGTAGCAGCCTCGTTTACTCTTGCTTCCGCCGAATCCGGTCGTGTTTTAAGCGCGGTGTTCTCGCTGAGCGACGTGTTGCGAAGCAGTGCGCCTGCTTGACTTGACCGTTTTCAGAGCGGTGCTCCCACTGACCCCGGTTGTGTTTTCAGGGCGGTGGACCCGTGTGATCGTGGTGCCACGGCCGCCTTGCCCAGCAGGGCAGAGGCTGGACATGCTGGGCTCGTGCCGTCCTGTGCTGGGGCCAAGCCACACTGAAGCGCCGCTGCCGGCGGTGCTGCTGTTCAGCGGGCTCGGGTCTGGGCCTGGACCGCTTCAGCCCGCCCCACCGCCGGCTGGCCCGCCTGGTGACCGGCGCGGCGGCGCTGCATGACGTTGGCAAACGCAGCCGAGTACAGGGCAACAGCCGAGTCCGCCGGCTGGCCCACCTGGTGACCGGCACGGCGGCCCTGCACGACACTGGGAGCTCAACCGTACCCGAGACGGAACCCACCCCGCCGGGCAGTCAGCAGCCACTCACAGGCCGTCAGCGCCCACGCATGGACAGACGGCTACAACAGCTGGCACGTGTTTTCATCAAGAACATGTATATACACGTCACGTCTGTCAAACACGCAAACACACCACCGCAGTCCTCCTGAACAGTCGGACATCAGGATGGGGCATACACGCGACTGCGTAGTGGTCGCGTCGGTGGCGTTACCAGCCCTACCATCGGGAAGAAGCGGCGATCACCGTTGGACTGCTCGTGATTGAGTCGCATCTTACTGATGCCACTTAAGCAACTATTCGGTGGCCGAAATATATTTGATAAATCATGCGATCCATGCGTACATGGCGTGAAACCCATGTCAATAGCGTCGTGCTTTCCGATACAGCATTGCCAGCGCGGAAATACCTCACCAGGAATATTCTAGCTCGTTATGGGCAGGACTTATGCAAGTGTTTAAGATTTTAAAAATCCATTTGCTACGCAGTAAGATTTGAATGCGGTTCTTTGTGTCAACGAGGAGACGCAGAAGTAAATGGGAATATCGGAGACAAGCGGGACCGTTGTCTCCGGTAGCATCATAGCATCATAGCACCATAGCCTATTTCATGGCTGATGCGGTTCTCGCTTCAAGGCATAGCAGAGACGTGCCGGTAACGGTGAACCCGAGCAGGCTGAACGAATCCACCACGGAGAGCAAAGTACCGGTCGCACGATTAGGGGGATCAAACTACAACTCGCTGTAAATAAGATCCTGAAAGCTTGCTTTGAAGGTGGGCATTTCGCCAGTTGGAAATCACTCACAAGTACCCGTATAACACGGCAGCTGGTTGAAGACTGATGACTGGTGACAGGCTAATGCAGCGTCGCTGTCTCACAACTGCAACAGTGGTAATCGTTATGTGTCCTCAAAGGAGCAACCCTCGACTTTGAGCCAAAGTCGAGCCCACCTCGGCCGGCAATTGTCTACATGTGCTCGCCATGAGGCACGTTATTAAGGGCGGGCGGATAAGAGCCCCTACCCGCCCGCACCGCCTGTGACGCCCCCGCGGTCGGTGCGGAACGTGAGACGCGCCTGACGCGCCTGCCGTCGGTACGGGACGTGACGCGCGCCAGACGAGCGGAGCGTGCAGGGGCCGATCGGTCTCCTGTTCTCAATGTGAGCGCCATGAAACCCTACGCGCCGAGTAGCTGCAGCGTTTGAAAAGGACAGCACGAGTAGCGGCCAGTCACGTTCGGCACCAGCGACCGTGACTGCGGCAGGGTGGTGAAGTGCCAGGGCTGACCTCGTGCTGAGCGGTGACGACCTTATTCCGACCCGAGGCGTGGGGCAGGCGAATGCACTTGTATATCTTTCTGCCAGGTCATTCAGCCTCAATCATATCAAACTCCCGTGGTGTGTGTACTTGGTAGTAAATATTAGTTACCCAAACTGGCGTCCTGGTGGTAGTGGAAACGATGAAGAGCGCATTTCGCACGTGGTACGCGGTAATGGTGCGTAAGGTCCTGCTTGGCTCAAACCTTTTAGGCGCCCATATTTACGACAGGAAGCGCAGCGAAACACTGGACGGCTGAGTGATTCGCATAAATGGATCTTTGCATGGTTCATATGTCAGTTGCTACAAAATCTTCAGCTCTGAATGATTTACAGTGTTTGAGGCATGCTAAAGTGGTCTGTATTCCGCACTGCTACATTGTGGGGCCGGAATAAACAATACGGCGAACGGCGGAGCAAGGCACCGAGGAAGATTGTAGCTCTGCCCATGCTGCTCTTGATACAACGTGAATGATTGATGAGATGCATTGCCTCCTTGAAATTAATCATAACATAAAACGCCCTGTCTGGCTTGTCCAGCTGCTCGGTAAGCACGTTGCATGTCTGCTCCAGTAGTGAACGTGTAGACCAATATTCGCAGTCAGTGCGCAGAGCACCCTTCGCAGTCAGTGCGCAGAGCACCCTTCGCAGTCAGTGCGCAGGCCACCTTTCGTAGTCAGTGCGCAGGCCACCTTTCGTAGTCAGTGCGCAGGCCACCTTTCGTTGTTAGTGCGCAGGCCACCCTTCGTAGTCAGTGCGCGGGCCACCTTCTGTAGATACTGCGCAGGCCACCCTTCGTAGTCAGTGCGCAGGCCACTTTTCGTAGTCAGTGCACAGAACAACCTTCGTTGTGTGTGTGTGTGTGTTATGTGTGTGTGTGTGTGTGTGTGTGTGTATGTGTGCGTGTGCGTGTGCGTGTGTGTGTGTGTGTGTGTGTGTGTGTGTGTGTGTGTGTGTGTGTGTGTGTGTGTGTGTGTGTGTGTGTGTGTGTGTGTGTGTGTGCGTGCGTGTACCACCCTTCGTAGTGTGTGCGCAGGCCGCCGTTCGTAATGCGTGCGCAAAACGCCCTTTTCGGTGTGTGACCTGTGTGTATGACCTTTGTAGTTCGCGATTGCCCTCTGTAATTCCACCTCGTCGTTGGCGTATGCGTCATTTCCCGTCCGCCAAAGTGAGCGGAACAATGTCATGTTCCCATGGGCCTGACTGAGCGTAGGTGAAGACTGCGAAGTAATCTAGGCAATGGTCGGCCTCTTACGGGCCAGAACGAACTGATCTTGCTTCAGCGAGTGATTGAATCGACCTACATGTGACTTAAACACGTGTCTAGTGATGCTGACAGCCGTTGTTCTGAACTTGCATCTTAAATGCACGCAATCATGCCCGCCTGTACCTGAATTGGTTACAAGAAGTTTCATGTTTTTTCTTGCCTTTGCCCGTGTGAAAAATACATTTAATTCAGGTCGTACTTTTCGACTCATATTTCAACGTACTACCCATTTAAGCCCAATCGCGGGGAGATGTTCCCCTTAAAATCTTCAAAGCTACCGCGCCGATGATAGAATACTAGACGTCATCTTAGTTATCCCGATAAGTGATTCCATTGTTCAGATCAGGAAGTAATGCATACCCCAATAATCTCCGACCAGTTTCCATTAGACTGCAGCGAAGCGGGCGAGGATGTGGCGTGTTCACGATTTGTCCGTGACCTCTTGCTATTACCTGTGTCCCATGCAATATTATGCGATCAGCAGCATGGTGTCCGGCCCGGCCGGTCCAGGGAGCTGGTCCTGCTGGGCTCCGTCCATTACCTCGCCAGCAACATAGACTGCGGACGCATGTCAGCAGTATGACGACCGCCGACACGACTGCGGCGTTTGGCAGCGTCCAGCATGGCCGTCTCATAAAAGGTCAGGCTGGTACGGGATAGACGATAGATAGATACATAGATAGACGGCGCCTGGTTTAAGAAGTGGCTAGACTGATCTAGACTGGTCAGGACGTGTCTTGGTGATTGAAAACGGAAGGCCGGTCCATGGTGAATTCACACTGTGCACGTTGTGCAATCCACAGCTGTATGCAGCTGGGGCTGCGCAGGGTTTATGTTGAGTCTATTCTCTTTTGGAGCTAAGCTTATGACTTAGTCTTTTCTGCTTAAAAGTAATCATAGATGCAGGTCATGTGCAGTTTCCCCATTCTAAACTGGCACACGTCGGATCCAAACTAAGCGGGACTTGGCAGTAGTACGTTCAAAGTACATCAAAAACATATTCCATCAAAGCTTATTTTGTTTTGGTCGCATCGCGACAAGGTACGGGCCCCACAAATGTTGTTTATTTGCGTGATGCGAGATTGCATCCCTTCACCAGTGCCGAAATTATCGGAGTCGTGAACTGAAATCCGAACTTCGATAAGCACATTTCAACCGTTCTGCGGCATGATCACGCAACTTCAGTGGCAATGTCCAAATTACCACACCGGATATCAGAAGTAAATTTTGGTCATGAAACCTTTCGTATTAGCCCAAATTTGAGCTGAAGAACAATTTGCTTTGGATTCATACAATCCTGCGTAAATGTTTCCAGAAGGTCATTTACCGCTGCGCATTACTGTAACATGTAACTGACGATATCACCGCGTCACGTCTGTCCTGAAACAAGCTCAAATGGCCAACAATAGAGCGGCCCGTGTCTGGACGGGACATGGTGCCGCCGCATCGCCTTCTACAAGCGAACAGGCGCCTCTCAGTTTACGACGTCGGTTCGGGTATCGTGCTGACCCGATCCGGCATCGATGACCGGGCTCCTCAATGTCCGCGTTCGAACTGAGCATGCCCGGCACTCAAGTTCAAGTTCGATAACCGAACAGAACAGCGCTACAGAAAGGCCAAAGCTGCAACAGGCGCGGCAAACGCCATGCGATGGTGGGAGTGGATCGAAAATGGCCGATCATGCTTTTCAGTTGTGTTCGGATTATGTTTGAATTTTAGCATGCATGACTCTTGTTATGAAAAGCTGTTTAGAAAAAGGTCGTAATGGGTATGACATGGGAATAAATGATGACTACGATGACCTGCCGTCGGCAACTGCATCCTTATCACCTTGGGCTTTGTCAAAAAGACATTTTGAAATTTGGACAGCATAGGATGACTTTTCAACTATGCACCAACGCGTGGATGACGAGTGGCATGCCTGGAAGAAAATCTACATCTTCTGAACTATTCCATCAACACAGAAATTGTAAAACTGATCAAATGCGTGTCAGTGAAACTGTTAGAATGTGTGATCTATCCGCTGTCAACTCATTTATGCGAAAATAGTTTCATCCCCAGTCACACAGCAATGCTAAGCAACGCATGGTGGTTTGTGAAGCATTGAAAATGTCCCATAAATTATCCATCTCTAGCAGGTAAACAAGCAGAATCGATCATGGTCCGCGGTCCAGCAATCTGTCATTTTGCTGAAAGACCTGAGCGTTGACCTAGCCACCCCATTGATTATTGACCGTCAGACACGTGACGGCGATGGGTCACAACCGAACCACTCGCCACCGGTTTCACCACATTGGTAGTACCCTATCAACGTGTGGAATGCTTATTTCATTTAAATGATAATTGGGATACTGCTCTGTTTTACAACTGGCATAAGTATGCTTTCGCGCAGGGAATACACGTAATGTTAGTAGCTATTCTACGGGCGCATATTGAAAAGGGTTGCATTCAGGAGCCATGTTTATCGTAACGGAGTCGTCAAATCGGACTAGGTCGTGTTTTTCTCGGATTGGTTCGTGCATTCATTTCCTTATTTTGGTGCAAAGGTTACAAGGAAACCGGAAAAAGGCTTAATTAGTTAAAGCAATATAAGTGTGATTGCATGGCCTCCTTGTACTTGACCGGTAATAACACAAACAAGCAACAACAAAAAAAAACAAAAAAAAAACGGCGAGTCACTTGCCTTGAAAGGATGACACAGCTTTGAGGTTTAAAGAGAACTGGTAACGTTCAATGTCGCGTGATAATTTC